ACCTGAACATGCTCTCTTTTCTTTCCTATTGACAGATTCGCAAAACCTGTCGCTTCACTCGATGGTTACGGAGACTTTGCTGCATGACAAAGAGAAACAAGGACCAATGAACTTGTTCAATTTTATTAAGAAAACAGATCTGGAATATTTTAACTGTTTATTACTGATTTTGTAACCGTTTACAAAATGAATGAAATGTTTAATATGTAGGGTGTTACGCAAAGCGGAAATGAATAAAATATTTAATCCCGTTTCGTTTTGAGACTGCAACGGATACCTCTAAAAACTGGCTTTATTAACTTTTTTTCAATTTTTTTTTGTTGTTTACCAAGCGTAAGGACAAGATGGCTGGATATTAGCTGGCTTCTTTTTTGGCGTCTCGGTCCATGAAAATGGGGAAAAAAAGAACGAAGCAACTGAGAACGAGGCAACTGAGAACGAGGCTAACATCCAGCCATCTTGACCTCACGCTTGGTCAATAATGTATATTATTAAAACACGCTTACACCGCCTTAAAGATTCCCGCTCAACTCTTGTAAGTATCAAACGCGTAGAAGTAGGATTTAAAGTTTCGTAAATGTCCCAATATTCTGCCACCTGACATCTAGATAGTCGAGCAAAAACGAAAATATGTTAGGGACTATAGCCAGCAGTAGAGTCTTCTAGTGATTTCTGTGGCCTGGCTTCAATGTTATCGTTTTTCTTTCGTTTCTTCCTCAACAGTAACTTTGGACATGCAACAGCAAAAAGTACTTATGATCGCCAGTCTGAACTTTCTTGCTATATCTTTCAATGTATCTTGAAATTCAGGGTGTTTGAATGCATAAATAAAAGGATCGCATGCGCTATGCAAGTAAATCGCCCAAAAAGATAACTGCCCTAAAAAATCGGGCGGATGTTCCAAATCTTTGGTTGTGATAATCAAGAAGACGAAAAACGGAGTCCGGCAAACTAGAAATGTTAGAATCACAATTGACATAGTCATACGCAGTTTTGTTTCCAAGGTAACGGGCGCGCCTGCGACCGGTGCTGGTGAGATGGATGACGTCACTGCCATACGCGATTGGTGTTCATGCAACGCTTGTAAAATACTAACGTAAGAAAAAATCATAAAAACACAAGGAAATAAATAACCGCAAAACATCAGAGTTATGTTGTACGAAATATCTGCTCTGTTTGTTGAGTGGTAGTATTCGCAGTTGAAAATGTTTGAGGTGAATTCGTAGCGTCCCCATTGTATCGCGGGCCCAGTGGCGAGGAATATGGAAGTAATCCATGCGCATAGCACCATAACGAGGCAGCGGAAGTTAGTGAGAGACTTGTTCATTGGTAAAACGACAGAAACGTACTGGAAAACACACAGCGAACATATTGTAAGCACGCTGGCCATAGCGAAAAGTGTGTTTATGAAACCGTTGAAGTAACAAAAAGATTTATCGATGGTCTAAGTGGAAGTAAAGAGATGATAGATGGTTACGTGCTGTTTCGTCTGTGAATGAATACTTAAATTCCTAACCTGGCTGTGATTATCTGGCGTAAGATCAAAGTAAAATCGTCCAGGTTGGGTGTACAATTGAGTTTTTTTGGAAAGGTTCTAGGTTAATCATTCTGAGAGAAAATGCTAAGGAACTTTAAGGTGATTGGTTACTTCCAAACCAACAATATGTAATTAAATTTGCCTCCAGTCTTCGACCGTAGCTTCAAAATAATATTACCGGCACTGAACATCGGGCTCGAGAGTAAAGATTTAATAAATCACTTATGATCAGCACGCAGCATTAAAAGTGGTAGAATTTAATACTGGTAACATTGATTTAATTGTTAATCTAAAAACAAATTTTGTTTCTTCGTTTGTTTTGTCCTCTTATTTTCTGTCCTTTAAAGTAAGAAAGAAACACCTTCGCAAACTACTCGCTCAATTTTCTATTTAAACGCTGGCTTTACGCCCTGATTGGTAAGAGCATATACGCAATACCCGTCACTTGATTTGTAAAAAAATGGAGAAATTAATTTACTGTGATCCAAGCCATGGTATTATTTCATATCCAGCAACGATAACGAAAGAAAACTGGAATAAAATTAATTCGTTTAACAATGAGCATTAGGGTGAGCGAAAAACAGCCATCTGATGCATACAACAGAGTTCACAAGCTTCTGCAACTGAACCAAGCATGCAAGATACAACAAACACTGACCTTTTCATGGAAGAGAACTGTTGCTACAGCAAAAGGCATGCAAGACGCCGACATTCCAACATCAGCAATCGCTAAATTGACTAACAGCAGATGCAGTTGGTTCCGCATAGAGTGATTCCAAAACACCACGAGACACACGGAGATGTTACCAAGGATACCAACAAGTGTCGTGATTCCAAGTAATATTCCAATGATAAGAATAATACCGGATAATGGCATGCTTTACACAATAGATGCTCAACAACTCGCTTGCTCTTGGATAAACAACTAAAGTAATCTTAATGATCTTAGACTAAAATTCTTTGAATCTCGGTGATAAAGGAGGGATGTTTAATAAGTCCTCTAGAACCAAGTAAGCTGCTTTGATGATATTTCAGTTGCTGGTAATTTGCGCGTGATAACTCAGCCTTACTTGAGTCCAGTTTGATTTTTACTCGCCTTTCATTAATAAATTGGCTTGAATCTTTCATAAGCCCCGATTTTGAGTGTCCTCATGATTATTTCACTGTGTAGAAACAGCTTGAACGTTAATCATCCGTAGCAAAGCAAGGCATCCAATAACCATCATCAAGAGCTGAACTCAAAACAACGACTCTTTAGACCGCGCAGTCACCCAGAAGCGATCTCAATAAGCAAGTTTGATGCCAGTTCGTCTCAATGGTCGCTGATTCCGTATTTCAGGCTTAAGATGTTAGTCTGTCTCTTAAAAGTCAAATCGTAACACAAAGTAAAGACAACACGATATTCTCTGAGACAATCGACGATGAAAAGTCCTGTAATGTTTCTAACAACTCGGCTTCATCTGGATTCTTTTAAGCACTAAAAATGTGTAACAGAGTAGACTCTTTCCAATGGAAGAATTTTCACCGATGTGTAAAATTAAGGAGCTGATCTTTTGAGTTTTTTTTGTTTGGACTACGCGATGAAAATTTAGGTTAGATTGTTTGATAGTGAGGTGGAGATAGTACCTGTCACCACCTGCTTACATCAATTATCCTTCTAACGGGTGATCTTTCAATTGAAAACAAAACACGAATGCTTAATTTGTCTTACAGAAAAAATGCACTTTCAGAAATTTTTGATAAAAATTAAGATACCCCAGTTTGTGTTCCCATGGTGACCGCTAATTATTATTTTTTTTCTTGTAAGTAAGTAACCAGTTGTGGCAAAACTGTCAAGGAAGTTGGAAGATTAAGCTTTCTCTGGACTAGTCTCTCAACGGTATTGTTTATTTTAGCGGCAGAAGATATATAAAGTTCGTGCTAAACAATTTTTACCCAGCATTGAACTCTTCATTTGTATTTTCTTCTCGTGGAAACATAGAGAAACAAATCACGGCCGCGAACCTAATTTATTTAAAACCTTGATTTATTTCAAAGCAAAAATTTGAAGTAAAACCAAACGACATTTCTACCGTTCAGAGGTTATTTGATCTGTCAGAGAAAAATAAAAATTAGTGTATTTCAAATTTTCAGTATGATTGGTCAGGTGATTATATATACATAAGAATAAAGGCTGATAGTTTCTAAAGAAACTGTTTGGGGCTGCGTCGGTGGGGGTAACGAAATAATTTGGAAATATCAATAAAGTTGAAATGGTAAATTGGCCTGTAATCGTTACGGTGGTTAATTTACCATTTCAACTTTGTTGATTATACGCACACTCTGATTGGGCGAGAACTGTGTCAGATCTTGTCGTACCCGTAGTCACCCCGCCGTGAGGTACTGTAATACTGAAGCACTTATTTTGAATATGGGCAGCGTGAAATGTTTTTTATGGAAATACTGCTGTTCTAATTATCACAATCGATTTAAGGTTAAAGGTTGGAGCATTTGTTTTTGCCTTTCTTAAATTGCCTCGCTATTTATTTTCCATCATACACAGTCTTACTTTCTTTTTATCTTTCTTCTTTTTTTTTCTTTCTTTCTCTTTTTTCTTTTTTATGGAGATCCTTGATTTTTAAGCAGTCCTCTATTTCCAACGCCATACCTGACGAAATATCCGAAAATTCAATATTTACACAGAACTGTAAGTTCAGAGGCTATTCTAAATTTACTAGGATTTGGTACTCAGTCTTTCGTCCGTTTGGCCCAGTTAAAGTTTTCGACAGCAACCGACAAAAGCCCGTGCATTTTTGGCTAAGGTTATCATATTGATTTCAATTACATTTTAGGGTAAGGTGTTTCTTGATCGAGCTAGAAACAAAGATCGTTAAAATTTTATACCAAACTAACTTACGTATTCAAAAGGATCTGGGGGGGAACGTGTTTCTGTCAGGCGTTCTTTGTACCAGACGCTCCTCCATCCGGGATAGGGTAATTTTAAATTTTCTAAGCGATCTGATTGGCTTAGAATAAACGATCGCGAAATTTAATCAAAAGGTTAGCGTTCCTTCGCTTCCCATACATGAGCTAGACACGATGGTCTTTTGAGTTTTTACCAAAAATCTACTAGGATCTGTTGTTTCTCGACCTTGAACTGGATCATGTAAATTTTGGAAGGTCATGCCGACGGCTGGTGAAGCGACACTAAAATCGCAATCGTTAAAAAAGACTGCGAAAGATGCGTAAGTGCAGTGCGAAAGTAAACTTTGTCAAGTTTTGATCCTAGAAAATTATTTGTACTACTCGATGTTTTCAAAGTCTTGTGAGACTGCTTTTAAGGAAACCGCTACTAGCCTGGTTCTATTCGTAAATGGTTAAGTCAATTTTATGAGAAACAAGTCAGAGGTCCGGAGATTGCAGACGATCGACATGTTTCATGCTCACTTGTGGCACGTGGCGTTTCATGTTTTGTTTATTTATTGAGCGATGATAAATTTCGTTGAACAAATTTCGATGAACATATTTATAACTAGACTAGGTTATACGTGTCTCGTCGTAATAATCAGTGTGTAGAATTCAAGTCTACGAAAGCACGAAGCAAACGGCTGTTTCACAACATGCGTGATAAAGTCACAGACTACAAAGATACTATCGTATTTAGTGGAATTATATTTTTTTTCTAGCAGAGCTTCCTCTAAAGGAAATAAGAAGGCAATTAAGCCCAGATCTGCTAATACTGGGGAAGGTATGTGTTTTCGATATTTTTCTTTGACTCACTTCTTTGAAAAAAAAAAAACAACTGTTGCAGCAGTTTTCACAGAACAGGGGCTCTTTGGTAGTAAAAATTATGATCATTTGTTGCTACAAATGTAACTTTACTTTACTTTTACTTTACTTTAATCATTTTCTCAACAAACTTAACATATATACAAAGCTGAGGGGAAGGCCAAGAGACAGGAAAGGGTTCCCTTACAAAAGGCCACCCAAAAAAGAAAAACACTACACATACCTATATATATTTGTAATAATATAATAATAATAATAAGTACTATACCTTTTTCTCTTAGCAAAAAAGGGCACGAAGACTACATCAAAACGAACTTCAGGAAAAAGGTAAATTTCATTTACATCAGATCTCGAGTTATAGATTATGTGGGATTGTTTAGTCATGTACTGTTCTGAAAGTCAGACTGAATCAGAGAGGAAAAGTAAAAAGATGTTTAAAGCACTATTATGTACAACTGAAAGTCATTTTGATAGAAACCTTTCATGTGTAGTATTGCTTTTTTAGTTCTATTCCAGTACCTGTGAAGAGAGGACTGAGGGGAAAAGAAAATGCAGATCCAGTAAGTTGATTATGTTCCATTTAACAAATAGATTCCAAGTTTCCTTGTCTTTGCTCAGTAACAGATCTTTGATGGGGTCAAAATGTGGTAAGAACAAAAAAGTGGCACACAAAGGACAGCCAAGGGTTTCACTGTTTTTCTTGCAATATTTTCATGTCTTTTGTGATCTAATTTTGTACAGACCCTGATGGCAACAAAGAATCTATTTGTTATGAGTGATTAAAAAGGAGACTGCATGTTGTTAATGATGAGGTCATCTATTGTCTATCCTCTATTATTAAAAACTGGATCATTGGATAATGCAACTCAAGACTTTTTATTGGCTTAGCCATTATGGTATACAAGCCAATATACCATAATCTAATACCTGTACTTTGTAACATCCGGTTTCTTCTTACAAAATAAAGTAGAGAAGATTTGTCTAATATCTTGGGGGCATTTTTTAATTAAAACAATTATTCCACTCGCACTTGTTGGATATGAGATGATCATAGCCAACTCGGTGCTACGCACCTTGTTGGCTATTTAACATCTCATATCCAATGCGTGCTCATGGAATAATTATTAATTAGTATATACACACTCAGTGATCTTGGTGTTTCAAGCAATCTGATTGGTTCGCTATCTTGGGCTAATCAACAATGTACACCTCCGAGCGAGTGGATAATGTGAAAAACAAAATAGCGGGTGTAAACTCACATTTCGCTAAAGTTTCAGAAGCAGAAATTGGCTTTAAATGGCTTCCTTTTAATTTTGTCGAGATCACTTCGTGTGTATATACTAAAACAACTATTCTTTTCAATCATGGTGAATAGTGGCTTTCGGGAATATTTACCNATTATTAAAAACTGGATCATTGGATAATGCAACTCAAGACTTTTTATTGGCTTAGCCATTATGGTATACAAGCCAATATACCATAATCTAATACCTGTACTTTGTAACATCCGGTTTCTTCTTACAAAATAAAGTAGAGAAGATTTGTCTAATATCTTGGGGGCATTTTTTAATTAAAACAATTATTCCACTCGCACTTGTTGGATATGAGATGATCATAGCCAACTCGGTGCTACGCACCTTGTTGGCTATTTAACATCTCATATCCAATGCGCGCTCATGGAATAATTATTAATTAGTATATACACACTCAGTGATCTTGGTGTTTCAAGCAATCTGATTGGTTCGCTATCTCGGGCTAATCAACAATGTACACCTCCGAGCGAGTGGATAATGTGAAAAACAAAATAGCGGGTGTAAACTCACATTTCGCTAAAGTTTCAGAAGCAGAAATTGGCTTTAAATGGCTTCCTTTTAATTTTGTCGAGATCACTTCGTGTGTATATACTAAAACAACTATTCTTTTCAATCATGGTGAATAGTGGCTTTCGGGAATATTTACCTCGCGGCTTGGTAAATATTTAGGCACTATTCACCTCGATTTCAAAGAATAATAGTTAATTAAATCATATATAAGAGCTAATCAAAATTTATGCAGGATTCTGCTTATCATATAAGATGAACCAGGAATATCATGCGTATGTTTAGGGCTTGAAGTTAACTTCTTAGACCACTTGCAAAGTTTTGCTAGTAAGATTTTTTCCACCAGTAAAACTGGTGAGACGACTTGCAAATTCATCACCACTGGCACTGACACTCTTAAAGACAGAATTTATTTTTGATATTCTGTGGGTAATGATAATGATAGCTCCAAAACCATGAGGAACAACAACACAGGTGTGGCACAGAGCCTCAGTGTAATACTGCTTTCTAATGACTGACAAAAAGTTCAGGTCTGCTTTTTTTGTTGCCTCATTTGTCACCCATACATTCATTCTTGTGTTCAAAAAGCTTCCTCCAAATGTTTTTCGGCAGATGTTTACTAATGGATATTTTTCTCACTCGCAGATTATCAAAATCTCTTGCATTTTGCAAGTTTGGGATTGTTAATTTTGAGCCCTGATGTTTAACAGGGTTTGTGCAAATCAAAACATGGAAGGTCATGGAATTTTGCTGTTTGATTTTCCTGGATAGGGATTGGTTGTTAATTATGAAATTTTTTAAGTAACTGTGCTATTATCATTATCATCAATATTACTATTATTATTACTTGTCATTATCATTATTGTTGTTATCATCATCATGATTATTATTATTATTATTATTATTAAGGACACAATGAGTTAAGAAAAATCATAGTTATTGGACATCTTTTCCAACTTGTAGAATGTGGATCCAGTCAAGCCCATCAAAAAATCCACAAAAGTCAAAAAAGCTCCAGACTTCAGGAAACTTCATCAAAAATGGGAAAACCAGTTTTCCAAGGTCAGTGATGATATTAATTTGAATAGTTTTTGCAATATTGCTACATGGAGGTGTCCAAACACAGGAACCAACACTTGCAGTGCATTACTATCTGTAGTTCGTTGGTTTGATTGACTTTTGTAAGTTGGTGAAGACATACATCTGCATCAAATCAGTTTTATTGGTCTGCAAGTACTGAGGCATAAGGAATGGAGAGATGACCAGGACACTTCTTGCTGCTCTTCAGCAGGTAGATCTACCCACTTGACCTCACACCACCACAACTTCTCTTACCCAGTGGTAGCCCTTGTAAATTTTTCTGTCACATATGAATATGTGTGTCCGTGAAAATTTTAATGTCATAGAAATTGCCTCTCCTGAAATTTCTCAGTCTGTCTTTTCCTTTTGGTCTGTCAAACAACCATGAACCCAGGGTCCTCTATCTTTCACAAGAAAGTACTTCCTACGTCTGATGTACGATCCTCGCAGTAGATAGCGCTATTTAAGCAATAGCGAAAATCAGACCCGAAAAAAAAAATATATGAACTTCATATATTTCATTGTATCTAAAGTACTTCCTAGAGGGGAGAAGAGAGAGGACCTGCAGAACAAGGTTGCATTTCACAGTGCTTGATCTGTTATGCTGATATCCATATTTTTCGGTTTTATTCTCTTGGATTAAAGGTGATTAAATGTCTCTGGCCAGAAGTTGTTATTTCAGCAATACCAGTACATACAAATGCATTACTTAAATGTTTTTTTTTTTTTATCTATTTTCATTTTTTCAGGGTAAAGCAGTTGCAAAGAGGAAAAACACAAGGGTTAGTAAACTGATTGAGCAGCAGAATATCTGTTAGTGTTAAGGTTGAAGTAAGGGTCATCTCAATGTTGAAATCAAATGATTTGAGCCGGAGTAAGAAACTGGAAACGATTTGTATATTATTCCTTCTGAAATTGTGCCCTTGTACTTACACGATGTATATCATTCAGTGTTTCCACCATAATAATATACATGAAAAAATTTCTCAGTACTGATTGGTTAAGATGAATGCAGTTTTCAGTTAATTCAGTGCAGAAGAGAGTTAATTCAGTGCACAAGACGGTTAATTCAGTGCAAAGAAAGAAACAAACCGAACATTCTGATTGGTCAGAATGATTGGTCAATGTCAATGTCAAGGTCAATGTCACTTGCAGGGTTTGAATAAATTATTTTTGCACGTGATGCNGATGCGCGCGCTTTTCTTCTGCGAAGTTATAAGAAGCTACCTCGTATTTTTTCATGTATATTATTAATACATAATCACATGATTTCTTCGAGCAATTTGGAATAAATAAGCACTTGTAAATTTTTTCAAAGACCACAAATTGCACTCGCCCTATGGGCTCATGCAATTTTGTTGGTCTTTGAAAAAATTTACTCGTGCTTATTTATTCCAAATTGCACTCGAAATCATGTGATTACCTATAAAAATACCTTGGGAATGAGAAGGGTACAAATGAAATATTTCCTCAAATAATGAGGGCATACCCCTTAGGCTATAATGTCAAACAAGCACCCCTTTCGTGAATAAGTCCCTCCCCCCACACTTCCTCTTTCTCTTTCTTGAATAGTAGGGATACAAGGAAAACCTGTTTCCATTGCCACTTTTTAACTTTTTAAGCTTCAACTACAGGGTAACCAGTACAGAAGAATAATAAGCACCCTACTTCCAATAAACACCCCTTCTTTGGGCTGAAATTTTGAATAAGCACTGGACTGTACACTAACCTTTTAACTTACAAGTTAAGGGGCTAGTGACAATTTAGATATGACAACAATCTCAGTTTGTTTACTAGCCAGACTGGCTAGTGGAAATAGAAAACCACTGGCCAAAACTGAATTTCTACTAGTCTGTGGCTAGTATTAGTGTCAAGCCCTGTAAGTGCTCCGAGTCACTTACACTGGAAATATGTTGCAATGTGATGGACCTGTAAATATTCCTGTCTGGAGGGATAAAGTCCTTTAACTGATGAAAGCAGGAATAATTATTGTTGGTTAGTACTGCAGGATTTTGACATTTGTTTAGAGAGAAAACTTAATGATCATTATAATGATTTAATTTTCAGTTTGAACCCTTTGACCTTGCCATAGGCAGCCAACAAGGTCACAGGTCTGAAAAACCATTCATCTATAACAGTGGAGATGAACAGGACCCTGATGCCAAGGATGAGGATGAGGACTTTAAGATTGACAGCACAGCTTTGAAAGAAATTTTAAGCAATACAGGAATTAAGGTAACATAAGTCCAGGGTCATTCTATGAAGATATGTTATAATCGTTGAGCAATGAATTTTAGATCAAGTTGATGGTGCTTGGTACAAACTTCTAAGGCAAATACATCTGCAGGTAATGATTAAGAAAAACTAAACCCTGTTGTCATCCTTTAAAATTAGCCTCATGGATTGGCTTATTTTCCATGACAACCTCTAGCCCCTCTTTTTCAGCATAGTTCATTGTGAGAGTCAAAAGAGCCAGACCCTGCAAAAGTCAGTATAGATTACCACTATATACTTCTTGAAGTGATCACCAATTTTTCTTTTTTGAGATGCAATGAATATATGAAGTTCATATATTTTTGAACTGCGGTATTAGATACGTATGATGTGCAATCCTCGCAGTAGATAGCGCTATTTATGCAATAGCGAAAATCAGACCTGAAAAAAATCAGGCCTGTACGGGACTCGAACCACTGACCTCTGCGATACTAGTGCAGCGCTCTACCAATTGAGCTAACAAGCCAACTGGGAGCAGGCCGTTAAGTTGATTCGTAATAAACCCGTGAAAGTGATAAATGAGATGCAATGAATATATGAAGTTCATATATTTTTGAACTGCGGTATTAGATACGTATGATGTGCGATCCTCGCAGTAGATAGCGCTATTAATAAATACAACAATTTCAGTTTGTTTATAAGCCAAACTGGCTAGTGGAAATTGAAAACCTGCCAGCCAAAACTGAATTTCTACTAGTCTGTGGCTAGTTGGCTGCCATTAGTGTCAAGCTCTGTAAAGGACTACCTGCTTTATGGGTTTAAAAATTTCTTTAACCGTTCACTATTCAAATAGGGAGAGCACTGTCTTGGGCAATGGACTAAATAGTGAAAGAGGGAGTGGTCATAGTCTTATCTTTTTGCTAACCTTTAATAGACCATTTTACAGTTGTGTACTTAGTTGCCAAGCCTTTGATTTGAAGTGAGGCTAAAGGTGACATTGTTGTGATAGAGACCAGTATCTAGTTAGCATGATAACAAAGAAACATCTGTATCATAACAAGGTTACTCTTAGCCTCACTCCTGTTCAAAGGCTTGGCCACCAAGCCCACAACTGTAAAAAGGACTCTTCACAAGGTCTGATTGTTAATTCTTCCCTCTCGCTGCCACACATTTCCTTATGAATTAGTTACAAGAATATGGAGTTAGATCAAGATAACAAACTTCTTCCAGAAAAGTTTGAGTGTTCTCATCACCCGTTTGCTGGTTATTGACTGGATATTAAAAGGAAAAGTTACATGTTAATCACTTCTGGGAATTGTTTAAGTCAGAAATGTGCTAAAACTGTGTGACCCTGAGTAAGGTACTATTTTGGAACCGTAGACAAGAACATTCTCCGTGTTAATTGTTCAATGGTTATATGGTTATTCCGTTAGGATAAGGATCGCCCAATTACTGGTCGAGCGACAATTGCGGGGATACCCTCAAGGTAACAAACTTTTTTTTTTTTTTTACAATTATTATCAGGGGTGTGGTCTAGCAGCGCCTGGTGGCCCCAGGCGCCTTATTTTTTTCTCTTAGGCGACTTAGGAATCTTAGCTTTTTCATAAAAAGCACATGCTGGGCACCCTGGATTTCAGTTTCTGAGCACTGGGCGCCCTTCAATTTTTTCTTAAAGGACAGCTTTATGCAGTACTTACAAATTACAGTTATATTTAACAATTATTCGCCGAAGGCGAGGTGAATATCGTCGAATAGTCCCCGAGACGAAGTCGAGGGGATTATTCGACAATATTCACCGAACCTGACGCGAATAATTGTTTTAGTTTAATTTCAGAGCTGAACAACAGAGAAATTTCTAAAATCATAACATTTTAGTAACATTTATTAACATTTTAGTTTAACATTTTATATAAACCGCGCGGAGCGGTTTATATAGCGTCATATAAGGAACGCTCGACCAATCAGATTGCTGGAAACTCTTTGTTCAGCTCTGAAATTATACTAAGTTACAAATATATAACGTACATGAAGGGGAATGCACGTAGTATTTCATTAAACCAAAAACAAAGAAAGCTGCAACAATTTTCATTTACTTTGTTCTCCTTTTATGTTGTAACCAACAATTTTCAACACAATATCTTAACTGTTTCGGGATTGAGTTGAGTTTCCTTTACTCTACCCTGTAATTGGTCCAGAAAATTTTACGTTACTCACTCAACCAATCAGATGCAAAACTGAACACCAATCACGACTTGCCTATTTTTGTTTTCTCGCGCTTCAGACAGTACGCTTCTTGCCTTCGCTTTGATCGGTTGGTATGATTAATTTTTAATTGACATGTAAATGAAATGCGCCAATCCTACATGGGAGTCGGGAAGAGCGCGATATCGCGCTAAACATCATCTGCGAATCGCAACTTCAGGCGAACAAGCTTCAGGTCGGGTCTCCTGATCTTTAAGATCTGGGAAGTTGCATTTGAATTGCACGTATAAAGCGTTCCGTGGAACTTTTACAATTCCTTACAATTTTCTTTTCGAAAACTTTCTTCAAGATATCGAGAAGGCAACCCAGTCTGTTTATCGAGATCTCGATTGTTACGACTGAGATCACCGTAACCGACTGAAAACTTTGTTCAATATGGAAATGAGTTATAACAACAACGCTTTAAAAATAATATTGTCGACTTTATTTTTCCAATCACATTTTCGATTCCTGCCCCGCTGAAATCAGTGTTCAACTCATGTTTGGTTGTTCCAAAGCCTCTTACACCGCTGATCTTAACAAGTTATAGAATAATTTTGCTCTCAGCCAATGAATTACAGTGCTATAGTCCATCTGCTTCTTCTCGGATAGCTTCAGGGCTGGTTCAGTGAGGGATCGTTTGGCTTCTCAGCTTTTTCCGCCATACGGTGAGAATACGAGAGGTCTGAAGGAGCTATGCTCGACTTCATTGATTCGCTGGTTGTGGTGTGTTTTTCTCTCGTTGTCATTGCTCGAGAAAGCCGTGTTAAGCCTTTTGGTTTAGGTGGCTCTTTGCGAAAGGGATAAAGACCCTGATATTGCCCCTTTTTGCCAAAAACCGTACACATTGACATCCAAACAGCGTTATCAGAGGAGTTGCACTGCTTCAGTTGCATCCAGTCGCATCAAGTGTTGCTTGATGTTGGGCATTGCTCTGATTTAATACGTAAGTTTATGTTTGAACCCGCCCACAAATGCTGCATAAGCTACATGGGGTTCTGTCTTTGCTATCGTCGACTGGACTTTCAGTTGCTTGCACCGGGAGCTTACCAATTCCTCGGCATATTAGCTGCATCCACTAACTAAAGATAGTTTCACCCATCTATTGTGATGGTAATGCTGGTTCCTTCAAAGATTTTTCGTGCTATCTCCTCTGCAGTTGGCTATACAACGAGCCACAACTTTGAAGTTTATTGGTTATATCCCAGCTTAGGACTCCACGACACAATGTTATCCCTTAAGCGTCGCACTTCGCGAATAGAAATACACGGCTAATGACTGTTTCCGTATTCATGGTCGGTAGTGCAAACTACCGAGTAAGAACCAATCCAAACGCTCAGATTTATCTCAGGACTACCTTGCCATAGAATAGATATATCTAATTAGACGTTTTGTTGTGTAGTATCACTGAGTATTTTTACGAGTTGTGCCTTATTTTGACTCGCCCGTGGAGCGAGTCAAAATACAAACGACGAGTAAAAATACTCACCTATATTACACAACAAAACGTCTAATAAGAGATTTATCGTCCAACACGCCAAATTTGTTATTTCAGTACAAATATCGCGTGATATTTGTACTCTTCAAAGCACAGTTGGATAACAAAAAGGCTTATTTTTGGTACCTGTATAGATTCCCACGGTGGAATAACATTTAAATTAACCTATTGGTAACAATGTGGTAAAATTTTCATCTTTCCCTGACAGCAAATCGGGCCTAACAACTCACGTCGCAGAAGGGACTGCTACGAGAACTTCAATTTACTACACGGGACCGCCAACCCAACATGCTTTGGAAGCGTCAAGTTCTGCGTTGTGTACACCACGTGCTGCACTGACCGGTGCGTCTTCCCTGAAACAGCGTCAAGTTGACAATGCACTTACTAGGTCCCAGGCCTCCTCTTGCGTTAAGAAACAGGTAGCCTGGGCAGACGAAGGTAAAGAATTTTAGCAGGTTACTTTTGAATAGAATTTGGTGCAAGGAGTAATTTGATCATTTCAGCGTCTTTCTTCTGGACGCCAACGTAAATGATTGGCCTTCACTCGGGTTGCCATTATTTGTGAAAATTCCATTTGCAAGTGCACAACAATGGGCTCAAACAAAAAGATTTTCTTCATATTTTGCACTGAACGAACTTAGACTTGTTTTGAAAACGAGACAAGCTAAGTGGTATTTCGAACAATATCGAGGCTCCCAAGATCTGATTAATCTATATCCGAATGACATTTGGCTGCCAAGTTCGTAGTTTCTCAGCCATTTCTAAATCGTAAGATTATTTTTCTTTCGATGTATATGTTATTTTTCTCTACCTTTCAGAAAACGAAGAATTCGAATTTCAACCTGATAGCCAGGCCCTACAAAGTATTCTTAGCAACACGGGGATAACTTTTAACCAATCTAGCGCCCAGCCCACCAGCCGGGTGACCTTAGCAGGCGGGCGGGTCACTTCATACCGCAGGACACGACAGTCCTTTAGGGAGGTACGTTCTATTTTTTACGTCAGTAGATCGTTCAACACTGGCTTTTATCAGAACACTACAAAGCGTATACTCAGCAGAACACTGACAGGGAGCATTAGGGTGTAATTTAATGGATTCCCTTTGCTCTCTTAACAAAACAGCAATGTTTAATAACTCGAGGACTTTGGAGAACGTGGCCACCTTAACAGTATTCCAAGTTTTAGTTTTGGTTAGCTGAAGGCAGTTCGGATATCAATACGAAACCTTTTATAGACCTAAGTCATGCTAAGGTTACCAGAGGCCCAGTCCTGCCAACTTAGCGGGCCTGGAGCCACATTTTCAGATCAAAATTAAAAGAATGGAGATGAAGGTTCTGGCATCATTACCAGTGCATTTTCACGGTTTATCTAGCTGATAGTTCTACTGTTTTCAAAACTTTTAAATCCCCTTCTAGAATGAAAAGAGAACAGCTTTACGGGCCGTTAAGTTACCGGGACCTTCGAGAAACGGGTCCCCGGCCATCGAACTTTGTACATTTTCTCGCATCTTCATCAACTTGAAGATGTTTTATCATCATATTTGCGTATCTGTTTGGACGGAGGCGCCAAATTGTGCTCTTTTTCTATTTTGATATCGAACTCGACGGTTACATTGTCAGCAAAAAAAGGTCTATAGCCTTAACGCTCGGTGATGTTTTAATAATAATAATAATAATTAATAATAATCAACTTTAATTAACGAGGGTTACACAATGCAGTAAATATACTGAAAAATCAGTGACCCTCATGTTCGACCTTAGCTGTTGAATTTGCATTCCCACTCGCGATTGAGAGTAGAAGCATGTTAACTATCACAAAACAATGCTTAGTTATGGCTGGTTTTCATTAGCGACGGAGTCGGAGTCGTAGTCGGAGTCGTAAGAACGCTTATGACCCAGTGAAAATCGAAACACGGAGTCGTAAGCGGAGTCATAAGCTCGACGGAATCGGAGTCGGAAGAATCAGAACGTTCCCATTTTCTGCCGATTCTGCTTATGACTACGTTGCTTACGATCTAGTGAAAACTGCATTGTCGGAATCGGAAGCGGAAGAATAAATCAATCACAATGCTCGATTCCAGGCCCGCGAAAGTACAAATTTTGGCGCCAAAGACAACATGGCGGACGAAGAGCAACTTTCGCTCTTATTAATCATTATTTTGCGCAGGCAGAGACAATGCAGGAATAATATCGTTCAAAAAAGAAAGCAATTTTGGGTTCGTGATATCTATGGACGTCGAGCAGCCTAGGAAGAGAGTGCTAACCTCGTCAGCGAACTACGACTTGGTGATCGTGAATCGTACTTTCGGTAGGTTCAGTTCGAGTATTTTAACTTTTAATTTCGTAATTTTACCGTCAAGCTCACACGTTTAATTTTGTTACGGCTATCTGTGCATTTTGGAAAGATGGAATCGAGGATTGTAATTGGTTTATTCTTCCGCTTCCGACTCTGACAATGCTGTTTTCACTAAATCGTAAGCGACGGAGTCATAGGCAGAATCGGTGTTCTGCTTCCGACTCCGTCGGTTTGATTTTCACCAGATCGTATCGCTCCACGCTTCTGATTACGACTCCGACTACGACTCCGTTGCAAGTGAAAACCAGCCTTTAACCTCCAGCGGGGTCTGAAACTTGTGTCTGGCCAGTACACAAAGGAACAGGAATTTTTGGAAGGCTTATGCGGCGTAAACGGTGATCGATAGGATCTGGGAGAGTCCTTCAAATCGTAACAATCACGCTTCGCGCCCGCTCAAACTCCCTGTCCTTGCCCTTCCTCTCCCCTCCCCCCCCCTTCCATTTTGTGGTGGCCACGCAGGCAAACAGTGGCGTGGAATGGGGACAAATGCATGGTTGCAAACATTTTTAAAACCACGTAAATATAGTTAGCCCCAATGCGTGAAGATCTTAAGACGAATCGCTCTTCACTCATTACATAAGTTGAGAATTATTGATAAGGGGAGTAGGGAATCCCACGTGAGAAGCCTCCTGCTCTTTTTTTTTTTTTTTTTTTCCTTTTTCCTAACCATTTTCACTGCATTAACGCAGTAGGGTAGGACTAGAACGGAACATATGCGAACCATGCGAGTAGTCCACCCAATAAATCCCACCCATCCCACCCAAGGTGAGGACATCCATCACACAGTAATCTCGGGCGTGGGAAATTAACGTCTCCTACCCCTAACCCTGTAGGAGACGGGACCTCCATTTATTCCTCCCTATCCGAGAAGACTAGAATATCTAACCATTTCTTGATGTTTTAGAAAGGTGGCATATTCTTCTCAATTATTTTAAGATCTTGAGTGTCGGTCCGGCCTTCTGGATTGTTACTCGTCTAAGACGATGTAAATCAAAGTTTCCACTGATTAGTCTGCCATCTGATACTTGTCTCTATCAAATTTTTGATCCTTCGTTAGCCTGAACCTCAAAGGACGTCCATATATTATACGGGCCCCAGACTCACTCGACCAATCCCTAAAGCTCGTGGAATGGGTCGAACTTCTGTATTTGGCACAAGAAACATGACTGCTGGCTCCGCTTTAAGTTCACAGAAACTTACCATGTACGATCCATTAGCAACAATTGTTGGCAGACAAGGACATCAAGAACTCGGTAAGTTTTAAATTGTACGAATTCTATAAAAAGATTGACCAATTTACGCTTTCTTATCCAAAAAGCAGTTAATTGACAGTCAGTTTTCTATGGTTCCCTCTTTATACTGTGCTGGCGAGGACTGATTCCCCCTCCGCTCCCCATGAAAACCATGCGATCCCTCCCCCCCTCCCCCCCGGCGTTAAATATAGACTGACCCCCAGTAAGGAAATATCTTTTGACGTCGTTTTCATCCACACGCGAACACGCGCGACAAAAAGATTTCAAACTTCCAGCTTTTTACCGCGCCTTCTAATACACAATTTGGAACAAACGAAAAGTTAGATGAATCTATCTAGTCAGTTTTCTTTCCCATCAGAATTAGTGAGAATATCTTGAATTTGACTTTTAAAGATAATTAATTCTTTTATAAGCGTATTTTAATTTGTAGGCTGTTGGTGATTGCATTGAATGCTTTTGAATTTTCAGAATCTGTGTTACAGATCATAGAATTCTTTCAAGAGAGAATAATTTACGATTTTCCCTATCACTTATTTAATTGGAAAGTGGGATTGGAAATTGCAAAGTTGTTTATTCGGTTCCCGATCTACGTTTTATATTTGCTTTGAATACAATGTATCAGAGCTTATTCGCCCTTATCTTATCTACTCGTCTGTTTCTGACAGAAAACAAACCAATTGTCAGTTCAGGAGCAATGAAGGTTGCTTCATCAAGCGACGAACCAAACCCTCAAACCGTGAATGGAAATCTTCTGTTTACACCCGCACGTGAACAAGTATCTAGTGCTAAGTTCGTCTCTACCAGAAATCAACCAAGTTGGGCAGAAATTTTCACACCGCAACGAGGCATAAGTACCCAGGATTCCGCAGTACGGGCTGTTCGTTCGCAAGCTTTTCACGAGCCACTACGGACTCCAGTGAACCAGCCAGATCTTCAAGGGGATATTTGTACACCGCAGCGGATAACCGGTGTTCGAAATGCCTCGTTAGCACAATTGCCTTCTCGACAACAACAATCCGAGACTGTAGCGACACCAGTTAAGCACGTTGCCATTCATTCCGAGTCGTTTAGCCCAGACCACCCACCCATTTGGTCCGAGATGTTTACACCACAGAACGCTACGAGACACCCTGAAGCAATGATGACGAGTCCCACAAACAATCCTCCTTCTACCCCTATGTGGCAAAATTTTTCGACGACCCAGAGGTCTGGCTCCACTCAGGACCTCGGTTCTAGGCTCCGATGCTCCACGGTAGAAATTACAAGTTTCAAGCCAGACGTAGATACGAGCTGTTATTCAATGGAGGATCCACAAGAACCCAAGCAGATGGCTGACGTCCAAGATGGGCGATTGAAGTTAACTACGCAACAGGTTAGTGACTATTACTTGTGCGAGGCCCCGCAATTTCCCCAAAACGCTTTTTAATTCCAGTGAGACTGACTATAACTCGTGCGAGGCACTGCAATTTCCGCAAAACGCTTTTTAATTCCAGTGAGAAGTTGACCTTTACTACACTACTGGCTAGTGACTATAACTTGTGCGAGGCACTGCAATTTCCGCAAAACGCTTTTTAATTCCAGTATTCTAGTATTCTGCCGTAGGTGCTTAATTGTGTAGTACTAAAAAATGAAAACGAGGCAAAGAAAGTAGCCTTTTGACAGAGAAAGTAGCCTTTTAAGTCTAAAACATGGTGGTCTGATTGTTTAAACAAAGTTTAGCGGATGTTTTTAAAAAGCTGCGTTTTAAATCGTATTCAATTTAGCTGAACCTTTTATCTGAGCATTTGTTTCAGTGAGCAGCGTCAAGAGGGCCGAAACTAACAGTAGAAGGACATTTCTTTAATTAAATCGATCCTCTTAAAGAGGGAACCTGAGGCCCATTGCTTGCGTAAAACTGCGGTTTGGGTTAAGACTGGTTCAAATAACCGGCCCAGTAGGTTTAGTACGGCAACAGAAGCAAAACTCAAGAAATATTTCCTTTTGGCAACGGACGCAAATTTATTTCCAGTCATTGGGCGTAGCTGAACTTGTTTATTTGATTTTAGCTGAAGCGTGATCTTGTCCCTACCAGTCAGAAACGATGTGGGAGTACTCAAATGTTCATCATATTTTCTGTGTCTGGTCGGGTTAGTTTCAGTCAAATAAAAACACTTTGTTTTATCGATCTAGTTACATTAAACAATCGAGTTTTAAGTTAAAAATTGCAAAAATCATTGCGGGAGGATTTATTATTGAACGTTCTTTCTTGCAACAACAAGAAGCATTACAACAAATTTCTGGTACGTGCTTGATGGATTGGAAGATTGATCTTTTTTTTTATCTGACATTGGACTATCATCCTGGAAGTTATTTGCAAGTCAAAGAGATATGTTTTGCTGCCACAGAAATTTACTTGTTTCCTATTTTCTTTGCCATCATGGCATAGTAACCATACTTGTAGCAAGACTGCTGATTTCTGATGGCAGCTAAGAGCTTTTAATCCTCTTTCTATTTATAAGCTTCATAACACGAACTTGATTAATCATGTCTTTCTCTATTTTTATCGTGAAACAAGGAAGTGAAACACTTAAATTTTTACTTTCTTAAAAGGTGCGATACTCCTGTCTTCCTCCATTTCCGTTTGCATGCTCTAAATCCTTTTTCAACGCGAACTTAAATTAGTACCCCACGCAAGGTCGAGTTTATATGAATGCTCGCAACGTCCTCTTGAATTTTTCGATCTAATATACCACGTTTCCTTTGCTAAGACGCGGGTCTGATTGGCTAAATTGAGTTCGTGTAGGCGTGAAAAAATTCAGGATAAAAAAATCCTAAGAAACGTACGGGGAGTATCCGTGAGTTGTTTGACTCGTTTCGTTGGCTTTTCTTTCCTTTTTAAAGTTCCTTGAAACTTTATTAGCCACGGTAGACTGCACTTTAAAGCTGTTTTGTTTGTCGCGGTTTCGTATTTTCTGATCAAGTTTACAAAACAATATGTCCCGGCCCAATTTTGCCGCGGTCAGCCCAAACAAAGCGAGCGTAAGCTAATCTAATGTATATTTCTATAATTTGGTGTAGCAAACTGAGTTGGCATTGTAAATTGGGCGCCGTAAAGAGTTTCTAAGCGTGCAGTTTAGTTATTACCCAAGAAAGGTCGAGTTTCTATAAATGCTATCCGCGTCCTCTTTGATGTAGGCCCAGTTTATCGACGTCCAGTTTTCATAACTCAGTTTAAATCGCACAATCTCTGTGTTTTTCTAGAATGGGCGATAATTTTCACCCAATGTAAACCTCGCTTACCAAGGACGAAAGATATTGGAAGTGACAAAAATGGCACATTTTAGAAACGGAATAGACTTTTAGCAGCAAATATGGGCGTACAATAGAGAAATTTTTACATAACGAAGGTGACGTAATTAACTCAATGAGTTATCTAACTTACGGCCTTCACATCTGTACGAATTACACCTATGAAATAATGACTAATCAGCAATACGACTTACTACGAGAGAAACTGAAACTAGATAATTGCATGCCTTAACATAGATATAATTAACAAAAATTATAGCCAACAAGCGCGAGTGGAATAATTGTTTTCTTGAAACAAACGCCCCCAAGATATTAGACAAATCTTATCGACTTTATTTTGTGAGAAGAAACCTAATGTTACAATGTACAGATATTAGATTATGGTATATTGGCTCATATACCATAATGGCTAAGCCAATAAAAAGTCTTGAATTGCATTATCCAATGATCCAGTTTTCAATAATATGAAATAAACAATTACTTAATACAATTACCGTCAATACAGAGAAAAACGACGGTCATAACAAATTAATTCTTCAAGATGAGAAACATTACTAGCAAACTTAAGGAACAAAATAAGAAGTTTAATCTAGATGAAAAAATAGCAGAAGAAGGAGATTCACAAACTATTTTCTTAAGATCAGTGTCAAGGCAATTAAAAAGGGTGGCAGTAGAGTAAGCAAATGTGCGCTTTCGAGATTTAGACCGCGGGAAAGGAACTTGAAGATTAAAAGTGCAAGCTCTGGTGCGCAAACCACCTGAACGAACGGAAGACAAGAAATCGAATTCACGTTTAAGACAAAGAGGAGCATGAGGATTATTAAGAATAGTGAATAAGAGTACAAGTTTTCTTAGTTTTATAAGGTCCGAAATAGGAAGCCATTTGAGTTTTGAAAATAAGCTTACAGATGGATAAGAGAAGTCACCATCAAGGAGCAGTCTAGCTGCACGTTTTTGAAAGCGAAGAAGACGAGACAATAAATAACTAGAACAGCCACCCCATGCAATCGAACAATAGATAAAAAGGTTATGATACAAGAGTTGTAGAAACGTAGAGCACAGTGATGATTGGGAAATGGTAATCTTCATTCAGTCCACGCTGATTTGAAGATGAATGAAGCATGTAACTCATCCAACAATTTCAAATTACCTGAATATTTAGACGCACATCTGTAAGGTATCATCCATCCCTCCAGAGAAAATTACTTACTCTGTTCTTCTTTTCTCTTGTTTTTTTTTTTCGGAATTGTTTTGCAGGAAGAGGATGGCATCACTCGGCTGGAGCGTCAAGCGCTTGAAGATTTAGGATTGCTTAAAGTTACTGAGGAATCACCAAAAGATACTCCAGGCCCTCCAGGAAATATTAGGGAGAATAACAATCTCATGCGATCGCCAATCTTTGATAATTGGATAAATGAATCTAATACAAAAAATCCGAGAACCCCTGCCAATAGTCAAACAAGCCCACGGTCAGTAACAATAAGTCGGTCAGCCGGGATTGCAAGTGAACTTTTTAGGTCGTCATGTAAGTCAACACCTCAAACCTCATCGAGTTCTCATTACTCGAGGTTCTCTCCGGTAGTGAGGTTAGCCACCCCCACTCCTGTGGGGCAGTCGTCAACGAATTCCCATAGCGCTTTGTACAACTGGTCCCAACAAGGTGTAAGGGCAACCTCTGCCATTCAATTTAATTCGACTCCTCTGTATTGTCACCAAGATGTGCCAGCAAATAATGCTCCCCGCGTCGATGACAATCACAAATGTGACGGCTTTCTTCGAAACCCTGTGAATTTACAATATTCTGCGGTAAATCAAACTCAGTGTGTGACGCCTACTCCAGTGAAAGCCACAAACCGTGCAGTTTTACAAACTACGCTCGGGGATGTGGCGAGTCCTGTTCAAACTGCTTCACAACAAACTTGCCGAACAGTGGCGTCACGCACGAGTCCTACCGACAAAAGAGCAATGACAAGCCAACGAAATCTTTCTAAAGAACCATACAATCGCCCTGTACAAGTGGTATCACCAACTTCAAAAACACAGAGATCTACGTACACCCCCTCTGACAACAGGAGCCTTTCTCTTAGATCAGCACTGGCCTTTAATACCAGGAAACTAGGTAGACCCACCATAGAAGATTCATCAACACTCAATGCCGGTGCAAGTACACGTTTTCGTTGGAAACCGAATTTGTCCGAGGTTGTCCCGACTGCTTTTCGACCGACGGTTTCTGGTTCCCGAAGAATACCGAAAACGCTGGCTCAAGAAGCACTGTTAGATTTGGAAGTTTCTGTTTACATGACAGCCGGTAATAATCGCTTGGTAACATCAACGTGGAGTGAACGGCCGTTGAACCCCTTGGCCAAAGTTTTCTTGGAGGGAGATTCCAGGGTAAGTAGCAAGATGATCAGTTCAATATTTTCAATGCGTTCAAGTTTGGTCCCCGTGAGAGCCAATCACAGTTACGTCATGTTTTAAAAGTGTAGGCATTGAGTAACAATGGCCGTTTTCACACTAGAGGACGGACAAATCGTCTTAGACGAACAAATCGTCTGATGTGAAAACGGGACGAACAAATTTTTCGACGAACAAATCGTCTGATATTTGGCCGTCTGGAAAGACGATTTTTTGAAGACGATTTATCCGTCGAGACGAACAAGTCGACGACAGTACGACTTAAATTCCTATCAGACGGTGAAATGTTCGATTTTCTCGCCGCGAGGAAATGGGACTAGCAACAGAGCGAGGTTTTATGGGAAGTTTCAACATGGCAGCAGCCATTTTGCTTTACAACATGACCCTAGTGCCTTTCCTCTTTGCGCTCATAAGACGGACAACTTTTCGGCATATGGCCTTCTCGAATTCAAATTCGACGAACAAATGCCAGACGATTTGGCCGTTTAGACGATTTTTCCGTCCTCTAGTGTGAAAACGGCCAATGTCTTTAATCCATTGGGTTACGTTTGGTAAACCCCTCCATATAAGAATTTTTCAAGTTCAGTTTCCATTGTGAAATTTAGAGTGACTTGGTAAAGGGTTAGTTTAAGGCCCTGTAGACTCTGAGTTGATTTACTGTCATAGTTTTAATCTCTGTTTTTTTTAACTTTGCAGCACTTCCTACCAATTAATGACAATCACTCGCGCTAGTGCAGGAGAGACCGCAGCCAATTGGTGGCCACGTCGGCACCGACTTCAACTTTTTTACTTGATTATGACTTGAAAGAGAATATCTTTTTCTTTCGTAGAAAAAAATACAGAATTTACCTCACGGTTTGTCCATCATTAGCCATCGTCTTTCTTGTTTGGTTTATTCTTACCTCTTTAGTTGTGTTTCTTCATCAAGAAAATCTCTGTGTTTTATCAGTTTGGAGCACCTTTTGATTTAGTGCCGTAAAAAAAAAATCGAAACAGCCAATCAGAACATAGGTAGCTATCACAAGGAACTAATAAGGACCAAAGTAAATACCAGCTAACTGCGGGAAAGCGTGGGAAAACGTAAGTGACCAGGCAGCGATTGGTTTTTGTTATGAGTCAGATTGGTTGACCAATCACAGACCGAAGTAAAGCAAAACCAAAGCAAACTGGATTAGTTCTCACACTCAATTGAAAACTGCTTTATTTGAAAGTGACTTTCGCTGTTGCTCAATCGTGGCCAGGGGTCCGTTTCTCAAACGTTCCGGTAGATATCGATCCCGAGAAACTTTTTCTTTTTCTGCCGTGGTCACGTTAACAATTGATTTATTAATAGTTTTGAAATTCAAACAACACTGATATCAGAAAGCGTTATGGACACGTTTTTGAAGTTCTGACACCGATATAAAATTGAGATATTATATTTCGTTGCTGGGGCTTTCGAGAAACAGCTCCAGATCTGTTTATGCACCGTGCTGTTAGCCTGAGTACAGTTGGGAGTGAGTATGATTTTTTTCCTTTTTTGTATGTGACAACCGACACTTTTAGTTGCTGGGACTTTCGAGAAAACGACACTTTTTATGTCAAAGTTTTATGTCAGAGTCTGTGTTATAGAAATTGAAGTGTTGCCAAGATTGTTTTAAAGAACCGGAAAACCAAATTCGCATTGATTGTAGATAGGTTGTATATTTTAAATAGTTTCCTTAGGTCAAAAGAAAACGCGCCTGTCTCGAGTGAATCATATTTATTTGTTTAGCTGTGATGCTTGTGTAGATTTGTAAATTGGTAGAAATTAAAAGTTCGCGAGTTTGAAGTAAACATAATAAAATTTATTTTTTAAAAGTGTAAGGTAAGTATACAAACTCCTTTCTGAAACACCTCCACACTTGCTTTGAACACTGAAATATTTAAAGTGAAAGATTAAAGTATAATTAGATCATCTTTGACAAAACTGTATTGAAGTTCATTTGTCCTCATTTCGTTTTGGGACACAACGCAAGAACCGTGACTTAAAAGCCAAGCGACTGGATTTGCGGCTCTGTAAAAGAGAAATAAGAGAATATGTTGCAGAAATTGAAGTTCCACTCTAAGTTTGTATATTCTTCACACTGTCTTCTTTACTTTTCCCATGGAACTGAGATGGAGAATTTTTTGGACAATTAGGAGCTACTTAAATTGGTGATTATTTTCTTTATTCTCAGTGATGTTAGCGCGCCGCGCAGAACTCTGGTAGTGAGCTACCTAATCCCAGAGTCCCGCACGGCGCACTAACATCAATTTATAACATAACCAGAGTAAAGTGCGCACTCTCATTGGTCAATTCAGCCTCCACCATTTGCCCATGGGTGTACGCTGCTGACATAAGCAAATGCAAAGACTAGTTTTCCGCGTGCGCTTGTGTTTTTGGTCACGTAACATTTGTAAAATTAAAAAACTTGCGGCAATGCATCAATGTTATAAAACAAATAGTAAACGCCACAGTGTACACTATTGAGGTATGGATATATATGAATATATATTTCTCATTTTTATTACCCTCTTTTAAGTTGTTCATTTGTGATTGTAAATTGTCTACCATTGTAAATAGTTGCTGAAAAGCCTGTACAGGAGTAATTGTTAAAGTTCATTCATTCACTTGGGAGGTTGCTAAGCACTCAAGAAGCTAGAGTCGCTCTCGGTTATCGCCTCGTGTGACTCTTACGCTTCTTTCGTGCTTAGCAACCTCCCACGTGCATCCATGACTCAATGGTGTACGCTGTAGTGTTTACCATTTGTTAATTATAGTCTAAAATCAAATAAGTAAAACGACGAATGTACCGAACATAAAAAGACAGCAGCCTCCAGGAGTCAATTACGTTAGTTGCTTCTCTTATTTTAGGAGGTAAAGATGCACGGATATTGTTTGGCACGCATTATCATAAGACTTATCAAAGCAGTAAATATAACCATACTCAACCCGAGCAAGGTAGATGTGAGTTGTACGTGGCTATCACATAAACTATCCATTGGATATTTAGCTCTAGGATGCCAACGTCTTTGAAAACGCCGAGAACTGCTGATAGCTTAAGAGACGCTGTATTATTATATGGAAAATCGTACCTTCTTGGGCGGTTTCTTTGGTGCATCTTCGTGAGAAAGTGAAAAATTATCGGCAAATTCGCAGCAAGTTTTCACGCAACCTTCATGGGCAGAAGGAAAAGTGGACTGGGTTGAGATAGTTTTGTCCACTGATGAACTTCTGCCGACTGAGCGATCACCCTCCCTCATCATGTTTACTTTTATGACGGTTATTTGTGATGTATCTGAGCTGTCATCGGTGCATAAGCTTTCTCCAGAGTCATCTTTTAAGCTCTCTTTGGAGCACCGATGCAAATCACTTGAACTTTCCGCCAAGATTTCTGCAGTTTCCTCTTCTGAGTTTCCATCTGAGTTCTCTACAGAGCTTCTCTCTGAGTTTTCATTGGAACCTGAGGCAGACTATTGATGAAATATAGAGATGACTAGATCAATTTTTTGTAAAATGTTCCAACTGAAGCCGTCATTGTGTCGGATACCGTATTTTCTCGAATTAGCGGCGAGGCGCTTCTTTGAAATTTTGATTAAAAAAGGGAGGGGGGCGCTTGTTAAGTTAGCGCAGCAATAAGACAAAAATGAACAGAACAGATAAACGCACATGAAGGAATTCTGCAAGCCAAGAGAATCTGGACAGTTCATTTATTCTTGTGCAAGCACATGGCGATGGAAGCTGGAAGTGACTTTAGCGGAAAAGAAACCATTCTCCTGTAATGATTCCACTGTATTTGAAGCTTAAAAAGTTATGAATAAAGTAGCAAGAGAAACATGTTTTCCTTGTATCCTTACTATTTTAGAAAGTGAGAAAGGAAGGGTGGGTGTCTATTCTAGAGGGGCTCTTGTTAGACATGAAGTTTACTCGGGAGAGAGCGCTTTTTGAGGGCGCTTCTGTGTGCGGTTATTCGAGGAAATACTGTACTAATAAACTTACAACAAGTCTTATTAATTTAAAGGGCGTCGGCTGGATCAACCATACCTTTGATCACATGCACACGCAATAATCTTTTGAGAAACATTTCACGCAAAAACTCTTTAAAAAACGACTAATATAAGCATGATTTTATACGGAAAACATTTATATTAAGTAGCTGGGTTGGTCATAAGACGCAAATTGTAGGTTGGGAAAAAAATTACAGACCTACGGAGTCTCGCAAGCCATTTCATTGAGATCTTTTCAGAATAGGATGACATTAATTCAAAGGATCTAAATTCTGAACAAAGGGTGTAAATTTCCAGGGAAACTGTAGTGCAGCGTCGTTTGAGGTACAACAAGATAATTTGGTTGTGTCAGCTTAGTTGATGATTTAAATTGGCCACCGTGAAGTGTTCCCAAAGCTGACGTTTCGAGCGTCAGCCCTTTGTCATTCGCTCTGACAAAGGGCGGACGTTCGAAACGTCAGCTTTGAAACCCTTAACGGTGGCCGATTTATATTATCAACTCAGTTGATGAAAACAAATTATCTTAATTATATTCTGAACGGACTCGTTACCTTTTCATGATGGTAGAGTCCATTACCAACACCGACAACTTGCTTGCTACTGCTCTCTTCAACAGCAGAACTTACGCCACAGCTTTGAAGAACTTTATCAATTTCTTCTTCCAGCCTCCAGAAGGGAAATATCACCATTTTTCCAAGTGCATACTGGAATTTCATCGTCAGATTATCAACGTCAATTTCAGCATCCATGAGGTCATCACGGAGACGCGCGATTTCCGAAAAAGATCTGTCTTTCTCCTCTCGAAGAGTCGCCACCAACTCAGCATCAACTTTTATCTCTGAAATGTTTCTTCTCTTTTTTTCCACGGCCTCGGTCAATTCCCTTGTCTCCTCGTCGAGCTGCTTGGAGAATCTTTCGCATTTTTCATCCACGGACTGGCATTCGTTGTAAAGGTTGGCGGTGGTTTGCTGGACCGTGTTCAACTGTTCCTGCGCTTCCTTAATACGCTGCAGAAGTAAACTGTTTCGACGCTTTTGTTCTTCGATGTCCTCGTCTAGTATCACATTTTCGGAACGAAAATTCTGAATTTTGGTAACAATCTCACTCTTTTTCTGTTTGGAAAGAAAAATAAGGCGTTTAAAGACTTGAATTCCAAAGACCAATACTAGTTGACCAATTTCAGAAAAATGTAGTGGCAATTTTCGTCGAGGTTTTTAGAATATCTTGGGAAAAGGAAAACCGTTTCCCGAGAATGGTTTTCAGAGACCTATCAATATAGTTAATTAGTGATGGGGCAGAGTAAAATTAAGGATGACATTACGCGCGTTTTCAAAAGTTGCAGAAATTTCCCGAGTGGCTCAGCGTCTTCAATACGCGCGTCTTCTCTATGCTGCAGAAGTAAACTATTCCGACGCTTTTGTTCTTCAATGTCCTCGTCTAGCGTCACTAGTATGTGATTTCAGCCGATTTCAATGTAGGCTTTTACAAAACTTTTATTCTAGAACTATTTCGCAATAACGGACCTGTCATCTTTTTATCGCCTAAGAGTTGGAGGATTTTGGTTGTGTCACGACAAAAATTTACCCGGAAACTTCCATAAGGCTCTGTTTTATTCCCAAGATTCCCCCCCCCTCTCTCTCTCTCTCTCTCTCTCTCTCTCTCTCTCTCTCTTTCTCTCTCTCTCTCTCTCTGTCTCTCTCTCTTCCCAACCCCTTCCTCATTGGCAGTTAATTAGCAGTCAGTTTTCAGTAGTCCCCCTTAATACACTGTTGCCGACGACTAAACTCCCCTCCGTTCCCTTTGAAAACCATGTGACCCTTCCCCACCCTTCCTCCTCCCTTCTCCAATGGGGTAACTGCTCATAGCTGATCGAGATCGAGAAGGACGAAGGTCTTTAAGAAACCGATCTCATCGTGCCAATGGTCGTGAAAAAGTTTAGCAGCTTTCGTGCAAAAACTACTGACGTGCTTACCTCGGGACTGCAGCTTAAATTTGTGTTTAAATCCAGTTGTTGCTGTTGAGTTGTAAAGGATGTTTGCTCTTCGTTTGGATAATTGCTCAAGTAAGGCCCAAGTGTAAGTGAGTTGTCCTCATGTTCTGTTGAATCATTATTGAACCAAGCGCAGAACTGGAAATGAGGCTGATATGAAGTAGTCAAGTTTACTTGAGAGAGCTCAAAGGGCTCGCTGTCACTGAATGAGTCGTACCACATGTCTAATAAAACATAAGCGATCAAAACAAAAATGTTATCGTCAAGTTACATTGTTTTTAAAAGGATAAACCTTCGTGCCATGCCAAAAGCAAAGCTTCGAGTGGATGGAGACCTTATTAGAATACTTCCAAGCAGAAGCATATCCAAGTTAAAGCCAACCTCGTGATATTTAGAGGATTCTGTATGTTAAAACGACTAAGCCAACTCGATTTTCTAAGATTGATGGATGTACGTTAGAAAAAGAATAATTGGGGGTAATGAAACACAATGTTTTACCAAGAAAAGGTGTTTCTATGATTTAATAAAACTGGGAAAAAGGTATACTTTCTCCATACGACGACGATGGTTGATAGATTACGAGCGGTTCTCCCCTTTCAGCGACGCCCTCTGCGCGAGTAAAAAAAAAAACATTGAAACCAAAATCGATGTTAGCGCGGCGCTAACATCAATTTTGAGTTTTGTTTGTCTCGCGCGACGGACTTGGCCGAAAAGGAGGGACGGCTTGTCGTCAAATGGTGGAAAATGGCGCACTTTGAAGACAAACAAACAATTGTCTACTCACCCAATCTGAAGACTTAAAGCGCAGTGATATTTCTAAAATTTTCTTTAGTGTTTTGCCAAAGTCGTTATTTCTGTACAAGGCTGACTGCAAAGAGGCTCTTACACTCCCTAGATTACAAACATTTGAAATCAAGCCACCTGCTAAGTTCAATCTGATTGACCTCAATGGTCACGAGTTGGATCTCTGCGGCACATAAATTAATCTCAGTGATCTTTTTCTCATTGTCATGGCAGCGCACGTTTGAAACGTCATAGTGCGCGCGTTTTTCTGTCAAAGCGCGCGCGACCCTCCCTCCCCCTCACCATTTTCGAGAATCGTGCATCACAATTCTGCAAGATGTCGAGTCAATCTATGTTCGTTCCAAACACTTAGAATACACCTAGAATGACAATTGTTGTTCTCTTTCGTTTCCAGTCTTAATTTTAACCGAGTCAAAAGTTCTGAGTATCACTTTCGCGATGAAACCGTCTGCTATTTACTGTGCAGCACGAAATTATGGTGTTGTTCGACTTTTTGACTCCGATGATAACTTCTAGTCACGTTGCCAAAACATCAGTCGCTGTCGCCGACGGTAATTCTAAGTTCTATTCCCCCCACCCTTTCCCCCCATCGGACTACCCCGGTAACTGTCGCTTAATTTAGAAAACTTACTGGAAAACAATTTTTAATTGATGTCAGCCGTGTGTTTAACCTCTAATTAAGTTTGCTATGGAAACTGGTGACGATGTGTATGAAGGTTTGAATGCGTTTTAGCGACGATAGGGGCTGGTTTTTGATGGAAGGGTGCTTAAATGGGAAGGGGTACTTATTTGCTTTTTTAACCTAGTGTGTGGTTGCGCTTGGTCTATTGGAGTCCAGGCGCTTTAGATACAGGGCAATGCGGAAAATTATCGAGAGTAACCTAAGAATGCAAGGTATTCAACATTGCAATGTTCAAATACACAGTTTCTTTTTTATTTAGTTGTACTTGGCAGAGAGGAGTGTCGTGTACCTGGCTTAAAACACTGATCGCTCTCTTTTATAAGCAAAATTTGCTAATTAATAAAAGCGCTACATGTATATTATTCAGCTGAGCTCAATAACCACCAGATGCCATCAACATTGTCGTTTCAACTAATCGCGCATTCCCGACAAAGAGAACCACTACAGTACTTTAAAACAAATTAGGGTTCTTACTAGCATAGCGCAAATGATAAGCTATCAATTGATTGACGCCAAATTAGGCAGCTGTTCAGATTTGAAAGATATTTTATAAGATCAACTCTAGCTTCATTTCCGCGAGTAAAGGTATTAGTTTGGAAACATCAAGCATCTTTTGACAGATTACTTTTCCATATAAAAAAATACTTCACAATACGATTAATAACTTAAAAAGAAATATGAGTATTACTTTTAACCCGTGCAATTCTATTCTATAGAGCAAACAGAAGATTCTCGGCAGCTCCTGTTCCAAAATTCTGTTATTTAATGCTCATATGAAGCACTCGTCTCAGTTTGTGAGCTGTGGCGTTCCATCCACCACTCTCCTCTTTAAGATGTTGTCTTCCCATTCTTCGAGAGTTTCTTTTCCATTCTCAACAGTTCTAAAAAAAAGGAAAGCAAATATAACACTAGTGTTAATCTAAAAATTTGCCTGTGAAACTAGCAGCTTCACAAGTAATGAACCCTTCAACACCCAGAAGTGATTAACTTGTAACTTCTCGTTGTAATTCCAATACATTACTGTGCAAACAGTTTATGAGAAGAAAGAGGCTTGTCCGCTGTTGGGGGGGGGGAGGGGAGGAATCAAAATTGACTTCAAATGGAATTCTCCAGTCAAATTGATGAGGAAATGTATAGCAGTCAGTCAGGAAAATAACTAATTGAATCTTGGCAGTTAACAGTTACGGTATTGTTCAAAGTGTCAACAGTGAAAGCCAGGAGCAAGTCAATCAAGGACTACAATAACTTTTTATAGTATACTCCAACAGTGGTCTTAAACCTTAGCAAACAGCTGATGGAGGGGCCTTACAGGAGGCAAAAGACCACTTTCATAAATGGCTGCCGGATTAATATTCTTTTGTTTAAATTTAAATTAGCCATTCTGGCCTCGCTTGAGATAATGTATTCTTTTGAATTTTGTACTGGAGAACGAGGCTAGAAGGGCTAATTTAAATTTAAACAAAAGAATATTAATCCGACAGCCATTTATGACAGTGGTCTATAGAGTGCTGAGCCGAAAGATTTAGACTATGCCCGATAAAAAGAAAGCAGGTCACAAATCAATTATGGACACACTTGAAACTGTTAAGATTGCAGAGAAGTTTGCTAGTATCAACGAAAAACACTAAGGGCATTTTGGAAAATTTGAGTGAGGGTATGCCCATGGTTGGTTAGGAAGCCCCCCTTCCCTTCCACTTTCAAAACACTCTGTCGCTTCTCAATAACTATACAGTACCAGGAAATGTTGCATTCCCCAATTATCTCCCCAACTCCGTTCTCAGTTACACCCTTAAGGGAGACTAGATCTAATTTCTACTTTTTCTCCTTACAAAGGGGTTTAATTAAGGGGCTGGGCACCAGGCAAATTGACCAGTTGCGAGGACGGTTTTTCCCACCTCGTTTGACAATCTGGAGGAAAGTTAATCCTATTGAGAAGTTCAGTTCAAAAAGTTTTGCCTGCCTGTGAAAACCAGTTGCCCTCCTGCTGAAAACATTAACGAAACCCCTGCTTGCAATATCACCCCTGAATCAAACATTACGGTCACACGAATAAAGAGAATGATCGCCAAATAAAGAAACACGTGATTGTTAAACAAATTCTCCTTGTCAGCAACTTAGGAAACTTATAAAGAACAGTAGGGAGAATAAGTACAATGATATTAAAGTGTAAAGAGTTAAGCACTAAAAGATTCATTCAAACAGTGGACAACAGAAATCAGTCTGTCCTTACTTTTTTGTTGTTACAGTCTTTCCATTAACAACTTTTGTTGACGTGGAAGTGGATTTAAAATTTCCTGAAAGAAGGAAGAAAACAAGTGCCATCACTGTGTAGACACTGACAGATATTCAATAGGGTTTATTAAATATATCTTTAATGTGCAGCCACACATCTCTATATAAATTTAACTGAGAGGATCGAGAAAGACCAAGATATATCAAACAACACAAGCAGATCCCAGCTGCAAACATCCTTTTTCATGTTAAAGAGGATTAAGCTACAACAGAAATTTTCTCAAAATATTTAGACCCCAAATATTCCTTTTCAACTAGCAAGGTGTATTTGTCTGTAAATGGCTAGTTACACATGGTTAGATATGGAAGATAACAAAAAATCCAGAGTGAACTCAGTACAACTCTACAAACCACACTACATGTACCGGGTACATCTCTTTGAGATGAGTCAGGGGGAGGTTGGCTACATTCTGCCAATAGTAATCAGTGCCAGACAGACCTCTAACCGACTCCCATTGCTAAAGGCTTCCTACTATTCCTTACTCATAGGAAATTCTTTTCAAGATAAAAATTAGTGATAATAATTTTGAACGTTTCGACCTCGCTGAGGTCATTTTCAAGCTGATGAAAAGGAAAATTTTTATATATATGTACTAAATTCAAGAGGTGGGAATGATAAAGGCGATAAAATATGGAAATATGGAAATATGTAAACGCTAGGCGTAAAATGGAAGTGATAAAATTACAAAGGAGATAAATTAATATGAGAGCTGACGAAAGTAAAACTATAAATTATACGAAGATACCATAAATTATTATAAAAATAGCTTTGCGCGCATTGAGTCTGACTGTTTGTTCAAGCTTGGCTTAATTTCTTTTATAAAAAGCATCTCGTAAATTAGGCAGTCCAGTTTACTTTTGCATTTCTTCAGGATTTTGAAACTGTGATGCAAGTCACTTGGGGTATGCCCATGCCGCTCTTTAATGTGGTTCCCGATTGAAGACTGAGACGCTTTGTGTTCTTCAGCACGTTGGTAGAGGTGCCGGCATGTGTAGCCGACATAGTCTGCATCGCACAGACCACACTTAAAATAATACACAACGCGCTGCTGATTGATGATGTTGGGCTTCTTTTCCGTTGGTTTTAACTCATATCCGATCTTTCTGTTAGTGTACACAGGAGAAATGTCAGTTCCAATTTTTCGGCTTAGGTCGCCAAGTTGCCTTCGTACGGAATTTGCTGATGTTTGGTCCTTAAAAGGAAGTATAATTCGCACGGGTGTTTTTTTCTCGTCAGACGTTTGATTGATCCCTGGATCCCCAGACACTTTTTTCGTGATGAAATCATTAATGGTCGAATGCAGTAGTTGAGTTGGGTACTTGAGTCGCGAGAAGGTTTCGGTGAGACGTTCGCACTCTTGGTGAAAAAATTGCCATTTAGATGACAACTTAAAGGCACGATTTACCATTGTTTTAAGCAATGATTGTTTATATCTTACGTCGACGTGACTCTGATAATGCAATAACAGATCAGTATCAGATGGCTTCTTGTACACCTTCGTTTCCAGACGGCAATTTCGTTGCATGATTTCAGTTCCCAGAAAAGACAATTTACCGTTCACGGCCAGTTCCATGGTGAAGCTGACAGAAGGATGACTTTCGTTCAGTGTGGCTAGGAACATTTCAGCTGTTTCGGTGTCTGCCATTATGCTTAGTGTGCCATCTACGTATCGTTTGTAGAATCCGGGCATTTTGCCTTGTTCCTCGAGTCGATCTTCGATACTGCACATGAATGCATTGGCCATTAGGGGACCAAGTGGCGATCCCATGGCAACGCCATCGATTTGTTCGTACAAGTTGCCCTCGAACTGGAATAACTGGTGCTTTGTGGAATTATTCAACAGCTCTACCAGCTCTGCTTTTGTGATGCTGAGAATATGTTCTTTATTGAACCAGTTGTCCTGAAACGCTTTTTCAGCAAGGATAGCTATTGTTTCGTCGACAGGAACGTTGGTAAAGAGCGAAGTTATATCGTATGAAACAAGGACACAACGATCATCTACTTCTATATCATGGAGAGCATCCACGAACTCAAAAATATCACTGATTGTGTGACTGTTGGTTGATAGTGGTTTGATTTTTTCATCCAGCCACTTTGCTAACTTGAAATTATATGTTCCCGTTGCGGATAAGATGGGGCGCATTGCTAACCGGTGCTTATGGGTTTTCGGTAAGCCATATAGGTGAGCAAGCCTCGAACCTTTTTGGATGACTTGTTGGGCGATTTCTTTGGGTAATATTCTTTGTACGACGGTGGCTATTTCTTTTTCTTTCTGTAATAGCAGATGATAGTGCTTTGGTGGTCGCCCCCTCATTTTAGGTCTTTCGGTACTCATAGGTCTAAACTTGCTGTCATCGTTGATTCAGTGATGATTCCTTCAGGAGACGCACATAATCAGATTTGTCCATTACGACCACTCCTGATCCTTTATCGGGCTTCGTGATAACAATGTCGGAAATAGGAAATTCAATATAGAAAAAAATAAAGAAAGTTCCAGGAGCTGCTCTCAAAGTTTATGATAAATTAAATAACAAATTAAAGAGATTGTTTATGGTCCTGCACATTACGCTAACAGAGCAGAAATCTAAATTAAAAAAAAAAACAAAATAAAACAAAAAACAAAAAACTTACCTCCACCCCCAAATCCCCCACCACCAAAACTCTGGAAAAATGAAGAGCTGAAATGAAAGTGAAAAAATGAAACAGAATAGATATCATGAGATTACAACTAAAAAGCTGCACCTCATCTGCCACTTTTTTTGTTCTTCCCACATTTTGACATCATCTGTGATCTAATACAAAACAGACACAGGGCAATATGGAATCTACTTTTTTTTTTTTAAATTAAAACCTTACAACTTGCTACGAGACAGCCAAACACAGGTTGCCAAGTGGCAACTTATGAGCTGCAAATTTAGTTCCAAAATGTTTTTCAAGTTGGCACAGCAACCAAAATGGTAACAGCATATAATCAAAGGATTAAGATGTAACTTCTCCCTATAATATCCTTATATCATCTTGCAAACAGGTTAGGAGGACGTGTTATTATCTTGATCTAACACCAAATTCTTGTAACTACTGTGCTTAGCAAGGAAATAAGTAACAGCTAAGTGGGAGAATTAATAAGCAGATCTAAGATTCTAGGATCAAAAGGGTTATAAATACTAACATTTTCTTAGCAAGGAAATATGTAACAGCTAAATGGGAGAATTAATGAGTAGATCTAAGATCCTAGGATCAAAAGGGTTATAAATACTACCATTTTCTTTCTGGATGGACCAGTGTGGTCAACCATTTCTCACCTATAATAATAGTAGTAAGAATAATTTTACAACATTCAGATATTCATGTACCTGTTTGACCCAAAAGGATCACTGCCAAATCCATTGCCAAACCCAAAACTTGAGCTGAGGCCAAAACTAGGGAAGCTTCCAAAAGGGTCTCTTGGTCTCAACCTGCTCTGATTGCTGTTTCTATTTCTTCCTGGTTTGTCAAAAGAAATAGCAAATAAATGGCTGTGAATATATGAAAATCATATATGTGAACTGCCAGTTGATCATTTAAACCCTAAAAGAGACACATGAGTAACCAGCTCCTGTTCGGAGGACCCTAACAAAAAACAAGGCTATTTTTGTCTTGTTTCAACCATGTCTATGATGTTTTTGTTATATCTTGATAATAATAGGTTGAAAGTTGACACACTTAGACAAAAAATGTTAAGCGATAAATAATCTTTACTTTGAGACCTTAACTACTGCACACAAGTGGTTGTCAAAATGTTGTCTTTTCACCAATCAATGGATTTTCCTCACTTCAAACACTTCACAAGCAGACTTGTTGTGGCAAGATCTTTCAGCAAATCTTTCCTGTTTGCTTGTGCCATTGTGCAACAGTAAATGACGTCTTTGAAGAGATCATAATCAAGCTTAATGGTTGAAAAGAAATTGTTGAGATAAATGTGATGATTTTTCCCAACAAAGTTCACGTTAGATCGTAAATGACAAGGTTTTGTTCAGCCACACCATCTTGCTTCTTTCCACTGTACACTCAGAAATCACAAACATAACTGCTTGCTGCCTCCACGCAAACCAACACTTTTATAACCCACTTTACTGCCTTCATTAGCAAATACTGTGTCATGACAAGGCATCCTTTAAATTTTACCACTCCTTCATCCACGAACAAATTCTCTCGGGTCTCAGTTTCTTGTTGCAATTTTCAACTGTGCAATCCAGAATGGGGCAAACTTTGAGTAACTTGTCATACCTCAGATTTTCTCTCAGAACTTGCCTTGCATTGTTAGATGAATATCAAAGGGATCTTCCCATATATTCATATATTCACAGTCATTTATTTATCACTTTATGCATTTAGTATCTTTTCCAGTAGGCTTGTAAGCTCAGTTGGTAGAGCACTACACCAGTATGGCAGAGGTCATGGCTTCTAGTCCAGTACAGGCCTGCATTTTTTTTTTCAGGCCTGTTTTTCACTATCCCTAATCCCTCTTCTGTTATAATGGTGATGTTGACTAGTACATATAAAATGATTCATGCAAGTTCAGAAACAAAAACAGGAGTATTACATGCAAAATTGGGGGAGAAGAGGGGTATAGAATTCCTGTTGTTTATTGAAAAAAGGCGAGGCAACTCGCACATTTTTTCCAAGATGGCACAGTCAAACCTCGATCATCTGGACCTCAATTATCCGCACGTTTTGAATATCTGAACTTTTTCTCTGGTCCTGTTTATTTTCATGAATATTAATGAGCTTTGATCTTCAAATCCTCGAGGTAAAAAATTCAGAGATTATGTTTAAAGTCAGGAAAAGTGCATTCAAAACAGCACATTACCTCCTCCACTTTCAAAAGATTGAGCACCCAGAGAGTCATTGAAGCAGTCTTTTAAAATTAAAAATGTTTTAAAATTAAAAATGTGTGATCTTAATTTCTTTTCTTTGCATTATTTTCTCATTAATATTCATATTTTTTATTATCCAGACTCTTGATTGTCAGGACTATCTACCCAAGTCCCAATGAGTCCATATAATCGAGATTCAACTGTATATCAAAAATTGGTCGACAATATCAAATAATAATTAAAAGAAAACAGTGAATCCCTATGCATAGCGAATTCGTCTGATGTTTTTATCTATTGTATGTGTGACAGGAAAAAAAAAAATTGGGGGAAAACATGTCTAGTTTGATGTTTAAAGGAAGTTTGACTAGCCTGCAATCAAACTACAACACAATGTTTTACTGTAATACTACACACAGGGCTCAACACTAATGGTAGTCAATGAACCACAGATTAGTAGAAATTTATGGTTTTCAATTTCCACAAGCCAGTTTGGCTTGTAAACAAACTAAAAGGTTTGAAAAGTTGAAAAGTTAGTGTCAAGCACTGACATGCACAAGTGGATTACCAATAATATAAAACTAGACCAAATTATTGATAGTCAGGGGTTTCATTAATGTTTTCTGCAGGAGGGCGACTGGTTTTCACAGGCGGGCGGGCAAAACTCTTTGAACTGAACTTCTTTATAAGATAAACTTTCCTCCAGATGGTCAACTCAGGTGGGCAAAGCCGTCCTCACAACCGGTCAATTTCCCCGGTGCCTGGCCCTTAATGAAACCCCTGGATAGTACATTAAAACCTCCCCCGCAATACTTTGTTTTCCAATCTTTTTTAATAGATATTTATAGTAGAACAGATTCCATCTGGGAAACAGTCACACTAGGAAACTCACCAAAGAAATCTTCAAAAACGGATGAATCATTCAGGAAAAAATCTCTGTTGAAAAAAGCAAATACAAATTAGTTTTTAATGAAAACAATTGATTTGAAAAAAATCACTTGGTTTTATAGACAATTAAAAGGCAATCATGGTAGTGCTCATTTCAGAGACTGGCTACATGTATGTCCCACAAAGACAAAATGTCTGTTATTTAAAGATTTTTATTTCTGGACCCTTAAACTCCCACTGGCGACAAACACAGAATCTCATCTTACAATATCAATACATAATCTAGCTGACAACCAATGAGAAGAGAGAGAGATACCAACTAGGGGATTATTAACTGATCTAATACCACCTTCACCAAACTGACATCATAGGAATGATAAGGCAGACAGTACGGAGAATTATTAATAAGATCTTGGCCGTAAAAGGGTTAAACAACAAACTGACACACAGCAATTTCACACAACACCATTACATAACACAGTCACACAACACTCTAACCAGGTATCATAGCACAAAGAGAGTGTGTTTTTGCTAGTTACAAAGTGGTTTTCGCGCGGAGGACATTTAGAAATCCACATCATTACCTAAATATCTCGTCTGGATCACGGAAATGGAAAGTATGGAAATCCCCAAATCCTCCTCCACTTGGCCTTCCTCCTCCACCTCCTTTGTAGGAAAAAGTTACAGAAAAACATCACACAACGTTCAACTTTCAGTTCTAGAATCACTCATAATAAAGTTAGCTGCCAGTAGCTTAACTCATCAGGAAAACCATGGAGTCTAAGCTTCCAAGGGGATAGAAAAGATGAATGAAAATACCACACAATCATCAAATGAAACACTGTTTCCCTAGCATGATTAATTATTTTTCACTACAAAGAATGTGTTTAGTCAGTACTTTGTTGACAGCAATTCAACATTGATGTCTATCCTATTTTAGCCTGTGCGAGGTGTTCAGTTATAAAACCAAAGTGTGACTGTAAATGATACAATTGTGGTGAAGGAGAAAAATACATAAGGGAAGGTTGAGTAATGTCACAAAATGAACCTGACCAAACCAAGACCTCCCTTGGTTGTTCTAGCAAGTCAAAAGGACATAAGGCCCTGGAAATCTGTTACATCTCTCTCTGTATATAAAGGTTACCTACAAAAATTGTGTTTCATAAATTAAGAAAATTACCACCTTCTAGACCTTCTTTGCCATATGTGTCGTAAACTCTTCTTTTTTCTTCTGTTAAAATGCAATGAAAATGAAAAAAATAAATAAAAAGGTTGTTGCTAAACTAAGGTTTAGGAAAAGTCTTTTGGTGAGACACTTGTTGTTACTTAATTCCGGAATGGATCAAAACCGGTACTTTAATTAAAAAATGAAAACAAAAACAAATACTTTACCTAAATGATCCAAAATTAAGTAATTGAGTAAACGAAGTGTAAATAATAATTGAAATTAAACTGTTTGTTAGCATTTAGCCCAAAAGTTTTAGTTGTTGTGATTATTCAAACAAGTCTCTACAGCCCATTGAGAAAGAGATAACGCTGGAGCGTCCAAGAGGGATTTGTCACTACAGCAAATCCACCAGTAACTGCTCTCCTTGATTCATTCTTTACATATACATGACTGAATAAGCAATATTGACCTCAGAACAAACAATTAGTAGGGGAAAGGCAACCAAATAAGATTATTATACATTCTCTTATGTCAAAACTACTGACAATGTATGTAGAAGTGACATCACACCTACAGACAATAGTTTTATGTGCTCTTGTCTTTACAAGTGCAGCTAAGGAATATGCATAGTAAAACCATTAATGGTTCCGTTTCGCATGATAACGATAATTATCAACTTCAGCTTTGGCAGATAACACAAACATTGGCCTGATAATTATTGCTAAAATGCTCAACCTCATCCAATAATTCTTAATTATAGTGCAGAAAATTTGCCCAGATAAACTCAACACAGTATAGCTTTACGCTTCACTTTACTGCTTATCAAACGTGTTATCTTTCAGTTGCTATCAGTCTTACATGGAGTTTGAATAAAGGGGGCAAATCTCTAAAGAAACTGTTGTACTGTGGCAGTGGAGGGCATTAAAAGATATTTTGTTTTATTTTTTTCCTTATTGTAAGCTTTAGAAACTCTTTATGATGACTAATTTACATTATTAACTTAGTCAATAAACCAAAATATCTTACAAGGGAGCTTGTTTTGATTTTACTGATAATTTGAACAACAAGTTGCAAATATCAAAAAACTTACTGTCTGACAGAACATCATACGCCTCTGATATCAATTTGAATTTTTCTTCCGCCTCCTCCTTGTTGTCTGGATTTTTATCTGGATGCCACTTCAGAGCTAATTTGCGATACCTGCAAAGTTATAGAATATTAGTAATTAAATATTAGTTTAAAAAGTGCAGGATGTTCAAAGTTTACTTTGACGTAAAATTTACAGCTTTCCATCTGGATGAAAGTTTATCGGAAAAATTTTTTGGTGGAAACACATTACATTCGAAGTTTGCTAGAATCATAAATGAGTTTGTATAAAGTTATCTTTTGGCAAGGAAATTTGACAGACTCGGAAATGCAGGAATCTGTCTTGCGTAATTACTTTTTACGTATGTTAAGAGATAATATCCCTTGTGGAGAGTATTTACACCGTCTTTGTTATTGTTTTTTTTTGTTTTTTGTTTTTTTTTTAATAAAATATTAAATGTCAAAAGCTGAAGTCTTCCAAGTAAGGCTTAATTCCTAATTATAGCTCTCAGATTAAGGTTCTCAATTACAATGAAAAGGCATAGGCTTATTGGCAAAACTTTAATTTTTTATTATCAGAAATCATTGATGCATTGAACAACAATTAACCGTTCCGGCACGAAATAGCAAGTAACTTCGTCGATCTCAAGGCCGTAAAACAGACACTGAGTGTGAACCTCACGCGAAACAAATTCTTTCAAAGTACAAAAACACCCGAGCACTGCAACAAATTATGAAGGGTGAAGAGTTATATTTGATAAACACACCGTCAAACTAAATGCCAGTATTTCCGATAGCACAACAGGAGCAAGACCGAATTTACGGTACATTTTTAGTAGATGTATCTGTCTTTACACACAAAGAGATATATTAAGCAATCTTTTCAGAGAAAAAGAGATTACGAACAATCTGATTATCTCTCTTTTTCTCTCTCTGGTTCTCTCTCTGGTTCGCTCCGACGAAGGGCTAACGCTCGAAACGTCAGCTTTTATAATCGTAACGGTGGCCAATTTACCATTTCAACTTTGTTGATATATTCAAAGTATTTCGTTACCCCACCGACGCAGCCCCAAACAGTTTCTTTAGAAACTATCTGCCTTGGTTCTCTCAAAAGTTGAGCAGAAACCAGCTAGAAGAACAAGATCGAAAACTTGCTTCCGTCTTTCCGTTAAGTACGAGAGGCGACATGGCAGGCAAAATGAATGCGTAAATTTGCAAAACAACTACAAATACTTACGCTTTCTTGATTTCTTGCTCACTTGCACTTTTTGGAACGTCTAAAATTTCATAGTATTCTGACATCTTCGTTCACAAGAGGGAAATTCTACTTAATTATCAGTGCAGCAAATCCGTCTGGTCGTAGAAGTGAAAGTCATGAGGGAGTTCGGTTCACGTCGAACATTCCCGAAGGGTAGCCTCTCTTTGGCGCAGGGCCGAACTAATTACGAAGATTTCCGCCTTTATGTCGTAAGCAGAGAAACCGCCCAATTGGAGGTTTAAAACTCTAAACAGCTTCCTAGAGTTAATGATGAAAATGACTTTTAGATTAATTCACGGATGCCACAAGGAAGTAAACTTGAATAGCTGAAATTAAAAAAGAGATGAAATATTGTAGGTTAAGAAGCAAACTGGATCTGCAAGACGTAGGTCCGCAAGGCGTACACAGGGACCTAGTATTGTAGGCGAATGTAGCCGAATTCAAACCTCGATATCGAATAAATATGTCAGATATCGACAATTTCATGCGAGTATCGCTTCGATCGACGAGAATTGAAGCCACTGAGCCAGCCAAACATGGTAATTTTCGACGATCATTGCGATCGGTATACAATAGTCCTTTTTACAGTTGTGGGCTCGGTGGCCAAGCCTTTGAACAGGAGTGAGGCTAAGGGTGACATTGTTATGATAGAGATGTTGCTGCTTTTCAAATGCAAATTACTTTGTTATCAACCGCCGCCCAGTTAGCTCAATGGATAGTGCGCTGGACTGTTGTGCGGGAGGTCGAGGGTTCGAGCCCCGGCCGGACTAACACTCAAGGCCTTAAAGTAATTGAGAAGAATTTGCTACCTTTCTATAACATCAAGAAATGGTTAGATATTCTAGTCTTCTCGGATAGGGACGAATAAATGGAGGTCCCGTCTCCTGCAGGGTTGGGGTAGGAGACGTTAATTTCCCACACACGAGATTACTGTGTGATGGATGTCCTCCCCTGGGGTGGGATGGGTGGGAAGGTGAGATCGATATGGACTGAAGCGGCTGCCAGAGGCGCCTGAGAAAATGCCGACGTCTGTTCTCAACCTTAACAACATCTCATTGTAACAAACCTGTACTTCAGCTCTCTGCAAAAGGTTTGAATAAGCATCATATTAGTATCATATCAGTATGCTAACTAGATACAGGTCTCTATCACAACAGGGTCACCCTTAGCCTCACTCCTGTTCAAAGGATTGGCCGCCAAGCCCACAACTGTAAAAGGGACTATTGCAAGATACTCGATGTAACCGACATTAAGACAAGCTGACGTCATAGCCTTAGGTAATCAATTTTTAAAATTGCTCACCAGCTGAAACTAGTATATGGAAGTTAACATAACATTTTCCCTCAACGTACCCTATTATCTTCCTAACTGGTGAAATAATGGATCACCTTGGGATAACCAGGTCAGCAGTTTTTTATGGGTGGCGCGTTGCCGGATTTGAGTACAAGGCCAGCGCCAGATGACTGACTTTTATTCAAAATGGCGGCATCTAAAATCGTCTTTCAAGAAAGATGTGAAAACACTTTTCGAACGGTTAGATTATTCTTTGGAATCTCATAACACGAAAAAAAGTAACTCTGCTAATTCATTTTTCATTAGAAACATGTTAGAATATCGATTATCGTTACCATGAGACTGAATGACTGGGTATCATCGATATCATCAGAAGCTTCTAACTCTGTTCAAGGTCACAAGCCTCTGATATCATTTAATTCTGGAAAAATCTGCCCTTTCCAAAGGAGATGGAAAACATAATTCCTTAGTTGATGGTTTGTCAATGTAAATTCTTGGTAAAAAAAACTTACACCATCTGGGAAATTCATGACCCAACCGCACAAGAATACTCATTTTAGAAAGGGTACATTCCATGACTCATTTTATAGAACTTCGTGCGCATCAGTTTTCAATTAAATATGACGTCACAAGGCGCTAATGATCACTTGGGATTATTCAGCTCAATTGCCCTCGAGCTTGTGAATAGCTTCGAGATGATTTCGAGAGGACAAAGGATTGTGTTAATCGTCGTTCTTTTGTGCTCTTATGTTCAAGGGAAGGACGAATGTCCGTTGCAATGCGACTGCACTGATGACTTCGCCGTCGTAATCTGCCGAAGAATGGAAAAATTCCCCGTGTTCAGCTTTGCATCAAACGTCAAGACTCTGTAAGTAATACTTTCAGCTTTCCTAGACCCTACCATGAGGAAATGGTAATCGGCATTCGAATAATTTTATGGTGTTCCTCGCATGCCAGCATAAGGAGGTTTTTCAGTACAGCAATTAAAAGTCATTTTTCTTGAAGAAGCACTGAAGCTTTGGAGCCGGTGATGCATGATAGGAGAGGAGGGGTGGGTAAGGGCGAACGTCCTTCTCGAGAACAGTGATTAGAGAAAAATTTGTTTTCGTCTTTTCGCAATCCCGAAATAAACATTGTAAGTCCTCATGAGAAATTGAACCTCGGACCTTTGGGTTCCAAACTCTAGCATCCTCGTTTCCAGGGCCTTTTCCCATTACCCCACCCCCAACTAAGAGAAAAGGCTCTGGGAACGAGGTTGGCACTCTAGATTACGAGCGGTCCCTCCTTGCAGAGAGGTCTATCTCACGAGTCAAAAAACAACAACAACAACAAAACAAAAAAAACCGCGACAAAAAGGATTGACACTAGTGCAACGCGCAGATCTCTGGGAGTGAGTTGCATTACTCCCAGAGTTCTGAATTGCATGGCCAGCTAACACCAGCTTTCTTTTTCTTTCGCCGATCCTTTTTTACTTGCACGACAGACTTTGCCGAAAGGATGGACTGCTTTGTAGTATAATATGCATTCCGACACTCCACCATCGCACCACAGAAGCTCTACAGTGAGCCGCGCTATCACTGAGTTAATATGTAGAATATTCTGGCCAGTCATTTACTTTGATTTTTGTGTAGGGATTTAAATTATGGAAACATCAGACACATCGAAATCAAAGACGTGAAGGCGTATTCCAACCTTGAAAACTTGTAAGTAAATTAAGAGCACACTTAAGGCAGTTATATTCTAAAAATAGCTAAACTGAAAAAATATCTGTTTTATTTTCTCTTTAATCTCATGGCATGTTTGATCCTGGCTGAGCCATTAACGACAAATTTTCTCTTAGAAGANAGGTTTGTAGGCAAGGAAAAAATTAAAAGAGCGAACTTCAAAGGGAATCCGAAATTCATTTAGGAAAAATTCTACTCTATCATACGACTGAACATCGTAAAAAGTTCTTTCGACTAGAGTCGCAGCGCTCACCAAGGTTAACATGTCAGCGTGAATGCAGTGTAAGAAGACAATTACCAAACTTGCGTGACGCACGATTCGCGAGTGCGCTTTGAAATTTCGTAAGCTTTGATACTTCGTAAGCAAGTTACGCGTACGATTTTCGCGTTTGCGAGTTTTTAGTTTTTGAGTAGCAATTTTCGAGGTTGCTAGTGTTTTTTTTTTTCTGAGTTCACTGTGTTACCGTTTCACCGTTTTTCATTCAAATAAACGTGCCTACTTTTTATCATCGGATATTTACGTTTCCGCTTCCTAACATGCAGACTTTCTAGCACCAAGCGTTACTCATGCGTCAAGAAAAAAGAAACAGCGAAAAAAGTCTCACCAGATCACAAAATCTTTTATTTTTCAAAGACGACGGACATTATCATCATCACAGTCTGGCAGGAGGAGGCGCTCCTCTGATATATTTTCATCACGGAAGCTTTAGTCCTGTTGCAGTGGCTGGTGGGATTGCGATAACTTCTCTGAGCATGATCGGTGTGGCTGTTGCTTGTTGGGTGTTAATGGGCCGTAGGCGCAAATTGGCTAGGTAAGTTCTCACATCGTAAGTATCTCTAGCGGCACGAGACAAAATTATTGCTTCGTCAGGTCTTGGCGCTCAATTTTAATCGTTGGCCATAAAATCATGGTAACACAATATGGGTTAACGTCTTCATCTAAGTGACTTCCCACCCACCGCTTCCCAAATTCAGCAACTGTTAGCTGATAGCAAATTAGGGTTAATGTTGGGGGAGGGGAGGGATGGTTACGCAGTCGCTTAGAAACTGACATTGATCTAACATCATGATAATATGAGTTTATTAAGAAGTAGCTGTTGGTCATTTCAAGTTGAAATCATAATTTTTGTAATGAAAAATGGTGCGATAAATAGATCTTATTAGACGTTTTGTTGTGTAGTATTGCGGAGTATTTTTATGAGTTGTGCCGTATTTTGACGAGCCCGTGGAGCGAATCAAAATACAAACAACGAGTGAAAATACTCAGCGATACTACACAACAAAACGTCTAANTTGTATTACACTTTTGTATTACACTTTTGTATTACACTTTTGTATTACACTTTTGTATTACACTTTTGTATTACACTTTTGTATTACACTTTTGTATTACACTTTTGTATTACACTTTTGTATTACACTTTTGTATTACACTTTTGTATTACACTTTTGTATTACACTTTTGTATTACACTTTTGTATTACACTTTTATTACACTTGTGTTACACTTTTGTATTACACTTTTGTATTACACTTTTGTATTACACTTTTGTATTACACTTTTATTACACTTGTGTTACACTTTTGTATTACACTTTTGTATTACACTTTTGTATTACACTTTTGTATTACACTTTTATTACACTTGTGTTACACTTTTGTATTACACTTTTGTATTACACTTTTGTATTACACTTTTGTATTACACTTTTATTACACTTGTGTTACACTTTTGTATTACACTTTTGTATTACACTTTTGTATTACACTTTTGTATTACACTTTTATTACACTTGTGTTACACTTTTGTATTACACTTTTGTATTACACTTTTGTATTACACTTTTGTATTACACTTTTATTACACTTGTGTTACACTTTTGTATTACACTTTTGTATTACACTTTTGTATTACACTTTTGTATTACACTTTTATTACACTTGTGTTACACTTTTGTATTACACTTTTGTATTACACTTTTGTATTACACTTTTGTATTACACTTTTATTACACTTGTGTTACACTTTTGTATTACACTTTTGTATTACACTTTTGTATTACACTTTTGTATTACACTTTTGTAATACACCTTTTAGAGAGAGACTTTTTTCATATGTGTATTACATACAAAAAAGTGAAGATGAGATTAAATAAATACTTTGAAACATGGTTCAACTATATTTGTTTTCTTCAATGTGAATTACTTATCAATCTTTCAACCCCTTTAAGTAACCAGATAGGGTAACGCTGTGCACGATCTCGAACACTGGTTCGATTCTTCCGCCATCATCATTAACGTATCAAGATTTATGAAAAGAAACGTAGTAATTTCTGCCTGAAGACACCTGTCAACTTTTAAATGCCCTTAGATTTAAATCATCGACTGATTGAGATCGGGAAATGTCAAACATGAACTGTCAAATGTATCCCCTCTTGAGACACTGACATCGATATGATAAATGAAATGCCACAATTTGCCTCTTTCCAGCACATGATATCTTCACCGCACGTGGGTAACATACCATTCCGTTTCCACCGATGCAGCCACATCGCACAACTGTGTCCCATGGATACAATCTACGCTCAGGTACTCTTAGAGATGATCCCGCTATGGCTTTTACTAACCGTCTCGATAAATTTATTACATATAGATATTCTTAGTTTAAATGTTTCATGTTATTGTAAAGATATGATTTGTATCCTGACCACTCTTGTAATTTAGCTGTAAGCTACAAAGAGTAATTAAGCTGATTATTATTATTATTATTATTATTATTATTATTATCATCATGTTTTCTCGGGTCCAGTCTTCCATCCTTCCGAGAAGGAACTCTATCTCTTGGGGATCGCTGGGCGGGCTCATTTCCTGAACAGCGGCTAATAATTTAAGTCTATAAAAAGGTTTGCACGGAGGCCTTCATGCACTGCTTTGTCGACCAACGATCTCGACTAACATCATTATCCATTTTAGATGCTTATAAATTTTCCCCGACATATTAAGATAATGCTCTCCACAGTTAAAAATGATGTTTTAGCTCCATAAATCCTGTGCGAGGTAACAGGGAGGAATAGGTATGGAAAACGTTAGAATTTAGACATAGAATTTCTAGTGGCAAGCGGCTTTAATGTATGGAGAAGCATTGTCGCAACTATCATCAAATTGTTACAAAGTTTGGTTTCTAAGTCAATTTAAAATGTTTTCAAAACCATTGTCACCTTTTAAAGAGCCAAAAACAAATAAACGTTTTTCAAAGTGAACCTTAGGTTCTTCCTTGTTTTGAACTGAACTATAAATTATACATCAGAACAGTCGCCTCCTATAACAATGTGTTACCAACTTTATTTCGCTCTAAACTGAAACAACAACAGCGTATTCAAAGTAAAAAATGCATAAATTAGCATAAAAATAACACCATCCCATAAGGCATAGCGCGGTGTCCATCCCATCGCCATTTTATTTCGCTCTACAAGAAGATGGATGAGGCTTCGCGTGGTCAAGGGAATCGTCATTCAGGAGCCGTCATCCCGCCTCAGGAGATTCAAACGAGTAGTGGGGAAGGTAATGCCCATTCCGTTACACTAGTGCAGCAGATTTTTAACAATCCTGAGGCGCTCTCTTTGCTTCGGTGAGCCTTTCACGAGGATTGGGTGATTGGCGCTGACAGCGCAGCCAAATCTAACAGTAATTCTGCCGGAGCGTCCAAGGCTCAGACGGCACATGACACATTTGCACCGGCGACTAAAAGGCCACGTGGGGCTGAAAATCCTTCAGACGAGATTCTTATCCTTGAGCCTGGTATTTCTGGTTCTCTGGAGTAAAAATACCGCGTGATATTTGTACTCGTCTATGACGTTATTTGTACACTACGGAGTGTGGTTGGATGATAAAGTTCAAAATATAAAATTTCCTTATTAAATTCTGGATTATGACCTTACTTGAAAACCAGCGGCAGATCAGCTCTATTAGGCAGTGATCGGATAACGATATTTCCCCAATAAATTGTTGTCATTTTGTTTCTTCTCCAGTCCCGCAAGATTCAGTTTGCGCAATATTGCGCGCGCTTGCTTTACAATTACAACCGCTGCATAAACTGTTGCGTTAAGTGAAGAAAATATGTCCCTCTTCCCAAGAAAGCCGATTTTCTTCAAAAATCAATCGCCTTTACCTGTATGGCTGGATCCATTTACATCTTAGCTATATCTGGAAAAAACTATTTAATAATACGTAAGAGATGACTCGCGAATGTGGCCGCAATTGTAGCCGAACAACTGATGTACCTTCATCTTCGCCGACGGCATTATATATTGATAGGTATGCAAGAGAGCAGCATTCCATTCTTCTACCTACGCCTTTGACGAAATCTGTATAGTTTATCTATAAATTATTTCAATCGACTCACAAAAGTTTCCCCCAGGAAAGATGTTCTTTGAATTGATGGTCTGAAGAACTGTTGTTTACCAAGCCATATCTAGCTAGCGTGACAAACATGATTAACTAGATGGTCAATCATAATTCATGCGTCTGCGCTCTTTTAGGCACGGCACTGTATTCGGTATTATTTGTTAAGGTGAATTGTACACGCATTTTGATTGGTTCCGACTTATGATCTATTGGAGAACACTTGCATAGATGACGTCACTATTCACACCATTTTGCTTTTTTTATCATATTTAAAACCAATTAGCCTTCTTGCATGCCGTAGTTTGTGTTTTAAAACGCAAGATTCAGCGCAGCCAATATTTTCTCGCCATATTAAACCCGTGGAAGATCTGGGACAAGTGACAAAAGAGGGGGAGGGGGGAGGGGGTACACCAGAAGAACCTTCTCTCCTTTCCCCCCTCCCTCTTGCTTTGTCACTTGTCCCAAATCTTTCACCCCTCCAATATGGCGACCGCATCTATGCCGCGCCGAATCTCACACTTGAAAACACAAACTACCGCCTGCAAGCAGGCTAAAAATAAATAGATTCTGTGTTACTGGGCATCTGTTCACTGTTTTGTTCTTACTACATTTTGACATCATCTTTCATCTATAACTGAACAGATGCACGGCAACTTTGAATGTATTTGTTGATTTTACAAATACCCTAACCTGGGTTGGGAAAGAGTCCCATGCAGGGTGATGTGGCACAATTTTTTTCATGAAGTGAAAATTTTGTATAGCGGTGGAAATTTTGGAACATAGTACATAATCTTTCTGAAATTTACTTGTTTCTAGTGATTAAGCCAGTCAATTTGGAGTACAAAGCTTTATGGGGTTGAGGAATGGAACTGGTGCAGCGGTGAATGTGAGAAAAATCTATGGACAAAGATTATTATTAAACGCAGAAAGACGCGATTGTTGTTTTGATGGGAACACAGCCAAGGAACATTTTAAATAATTGTGAATTCTTCGTAAACATGAAAATGTTCATGACATTTGCTTTGTTGATATTCTAATTCAGGATTTTAGCCGTTCACTCGCACAATAGTTTATTGCTTGTACTCTGGGTTCATCTTTTTGGAATTTGTACTAAAAGAACCGTTGTGAGGGTACCTAGCATATCAATGAACTGAGGTGAAGCAAAAAAACTACGTGAAAATTGTCACCTTTTTTACGTCATCGGTTTTTATGCTACAAAAAAGTGCATTTCATGGGCTTCTGTGTAAAATCTCAGGAAACATGTCCATAAATGCACAAAAAATTACCTTTCTAAACACATGGATTACTTGGCCAATCATAATCAAGAATATTTTCATGTATACTATTAAACTGGCAATAAAAAACATTTAGTGAACTTTTACTTAAAAAATATCTTTATTCAACTAAAACTTCATTATCCTATCCGGCTAAATTGACATTGTTATTGCGCTTAATTTCTATAGAATGGTTCCTAGTCTCCTTGACTTGACCCATTTTAACTGCTCTTAAGGAAACTACATTGACTGAAAATTGGTGGAATGGCATCACCCTGCATGAAGAAGGCAAAAACAAAAAACAACTAACTGGTGTGTATTTCAAACCTATTACTAGATTTATTACAATCTCTATGACACCTTCGATACTCGTATCATTGCATTTCGTTCATACTAATGTGAAACCTTTCAAAGCGGAGCTCGCAGCGTGTGCAGCGAAACCACAGAGTCATCAAAGTACAATAACTCATCAAGTACAATAACTCATCAAGCCTAGAAAAATGGCTATATCACGTGACCGTATGACTAGCCTCCTTTTGGCGTGCGCGAACAGTTGAAATGTGGGCAAAAAAAATCGTGGCTTAATATATATAGAAGGGAAACCTCTCGGGGAAGAGGGTAATACGTATGCGTTCGTGCATGTGTAACTAGAAAGTTCCATGCGCTTGCGTAGGTAAATATATGAGCAACCTGATAATGTAGCCAAGATAGAAGATTCGTCAAACGGACATAAGGGAAGAAATCAGTGTGCGCAAATTGACTCGAGTAGGCAGATATTGCAATAAGGACTCACCTAGTGGAAACTTTAGAAAAAAGAACGTACAAATTTGGCATTCACAAAGCTATTAGACTACCTGATATATTTTGGTTGATCCAATTAATGAAACTGCTGACCCGGGCAAACACCGAGTAGGAATCGGTTTGGCACTGAGCGGGCCTCCAACTCATGACCCCTCTCAAGACCCAACGGGTTCCTTCAAGACAAGAAAAAGGTCCGCCACTGTCCCCCTTAAAAGAAAATAGTCAGTTTCAATATACAACGAAAAGACAGGTGTCTCGTTAAACATAACTTCTGATAGATTGTCTTTACACTCGCATCGAGGCCGTTTAGTGGCCAACCGAAAGTAATGATGCGATGTTGTAGTTACTACGCATGACAGGAATGATTTATTGCCAATGAATCGTTAGCTGAACAACAAGTCAACTGTTAAAAAAATTTCACCAATGATTGCACCATTTTGCAAACGACTCATTAACCATGTTCACTTCATTCACCTTTTTTCTGCTATGCAAACTAATGCAAAATATTACGACATTGTGGAGTCATAGCTTCAATCATTGTTCTTAAAAGATCAATCTCAAACTTAGCAAACCGTTACTTATTTCGTGAATTTCAGCATACCGATTCATCCTTTGAGGTGAAAAAAAGAAAAGAAAAAAGGCAGTAAAAAGGCCTACTTCATGGGAATATAGGCTAACTTTCTTCAAAGTTATTGACGAGTTTTATAAAACGTCTTCCTTATCTACTAATATCTATTCCGTTTACCGAGCAAATACCAATGTCTCCTTGACCTCCAGCGCACAACATCGACCTCTTATCTACAGGAAATGTCACAGGAAAGGCACTGTTGCGTTTTACGCAGTCACTGTGACTAGCAACAGCCAGTTCGGCTTGCTGGAGGATGTCGGCCCCAGGTCCAAATGCACGGATGAATCCCCAGCCTAGAATGATACATTACTTCAATTGCAAGTTTAATTGAATAAACATGGAGTTTTCGTACAAATGTATATAGAATATTTACCAGCGATAGTACATCGTGTTCCTGGTGGAATTCTAGACCCTTGTTGTGGCAAGCAGACCAGATTTACCCTAAGGCTCCGTGTGACATTGCCATCTAACTCCAAAAGTGCGATGTCATTTTTTCCTGTGTCAAAGCTAAACTTAGGATGCATTATAACCCTTTTGACTCTGAATGTTTCTTGAACAGGCGTCGAACCGGACAAGGAATGTGCACCTAAAAGGAGGCAAACGTATTTTATATATTTCTTTACTTACGAGCCTCTATGATAGACCCCTTTCCCAGCTTCTTTAGGGTTGTGAAGCAACGCTTGTTCCGTTCGGTGACTTTTCCGTAGAACAGGGCCCAGTTGTTCGAAGACCGATCAGCGCTAACCCAAGGTTAAATTTTAATCCAGGTTTCTATATTTCTCTGTTAAAGAACCGTTTTGGGTAATTTTTCTAATTATTTTTAGAGCATTCAATCATCAAATTGTAGACAAATGGAATTAAAATAAATTTTTTTGGAAGGCTTTTACATCTGAAATCAAATTTTACTCTAACCCTGGGTTATCTTAACCCATCTTTGTAATGATGTAAAGGGGAGTAGTCTCAGGGTTAAATTGAGATCATCCATGAATATTTCTTCTCAAGTCAGAATAATTAAGTGAGACAAGCAATTAACCCCCAGTCAGTATATTTAATAGGATACAACAGTACTTCTTAACAGCGACACTACTAAACAACATGTCGAGTTTTCCCTTTCCTTACCAACAACAACCTTGTACAGACTTGGCGTCCGTTCAAATAGGCAGTGAGCGGCAGTAAGAACCCAGTTGATTCTAATCAATGAACCACCACAATGATGAGCTCCACTTTTTTGGAGTGAAATAATCCACGGCCATGAGTTGGGCGTGGCGTTTAGACCACCAATCACGAGGGATTTAGTAGGGCGGAAACCGCATGCTATATAGTGAATAGAACATGAACAATAAATTGGATATAAATGTCGGTTCAGGCTGCTTTCATTAATGATGTTCTCTATATTAGACTTCTATTCAACGGCAAGATGAATATTTTCTCGGGCTTTGCATCTGAAAACCATATTTCCGTGTTTACGGTTTAACCATTAGATGAAAATTAACGAACGCTACCAACAGTTCTTCCCATGACACGTCACTCACGTTCCCACACTCTCTCACTCAAAGAAATGATTATATATTGCAAACAATCACAAATATATATATCTTATTAGACGTTTTGTTGTGTAGTATCGCTGAGTATTTTTACCAGTTGCCGTATTTTGACGAACCTGTAGGGCTAGTCAAAATACAAACAACGAGTATTAATACTCAGCGATACTACACAACAAAACGTCTAATAAGTTATTTATTATCCAACACGCCAAACTGTTATTTCAGCGCGGGAGAATTTCGTGGATATTTATTTACGGGAAGTGCGTGACAGAAGTATGCGAAGCGGAACGGAATTGGCGCGTTGTCGTCCTGCTGATTCTATTTTCTTCAATAAATGGTCGTCTAGCTGTTTTTCTTAGCTCGATTCATCTAATAAACTTGGATCTGTATTTCGCAGCCACTCTGACTCTTCGTCGTCGGAAATATGATTCAAATTATCCGCCATTTTGTTTTCGTAACTACAATCCAATTCTTCGCTTGCGCGATGCGAGAAAACCTGTTTAACCTGTTTAACCTGTACTTTAGAGTACAAATACCGCATGATATTTGTACTCGTCTATGGCGTTATTTGTACTCTACAAAGTGTAGTTGGATAATAAACTCCTATATTTTATAACGACTAAAATACACCTTCGAAGATGCATCCAGATGCATAGATCCCAAATTAGGGTAGCATTAAAATGTTTCATTGATAAAGTAAGAGACTTGTTTAAAAATGGAAAAGCATGGCTTAAGCATTTGCCGAAACGTCTGTTTCAAAAAATAACAACAGTCAGAGGCAACCAATATCTATAAAACTCAAGTAAGAGACTTACCCGGTAATGTTAAAAATGGTGACGATGATGAGTTATTCTCTGGAGCTGGAAAGAATGAATACAATATGATACCGGAGCCCCAGCGCGCACAGTGTGCCAGTGGAGCTCCAAAAATAAGAGAATGCGGTAATCTATTAAGCAGAAAATGTTTTTTCCTAACGTCTAACCCCAGGTATCTACAGGTGGATGAAAAAAAAAGAACTAGTAACCATCTTTTGCGTTCCTTCTCCATCGAGATAAGTATTTAAGGACTGCAGATTAAAAGCAAATATACTAGAAAATACTCGGATTTCCAAAAGTGTACTCACTTTCTGAAAAGAGACAAAATGAGCGTTTAACTTTACTAAGCGAAGTCCTGTTGGAAAATGCTCTGACTTAAATTTAGAGATTCGGTCAAGGCCCCGTAAAAATCAGTGTTAAGTGTTTTTTTAAACATGTCTATCTTGATATGCTCCTGGTCTATGCTTTGGTGTAACCTAGTAGTTTGTATGAACTCAAGTAGCTTTCAGAATTCTAAAGGTTATGGATTTAAGACTGAAGCAAGGAGAATTGAATTGATTGGCGAAGCAAAGCGAAGATTGACAATAGTTCATATCTGAAAAATGAAATGCGTCTAATTTTTTAATTTTGTCATGTTTCCCGGCTGCAAACTGTATTGATGTATCTTTGTATTTACCTTCGATTTCAGGAGTTTCCACTGTGAAAAAAAGGAAAATAAATAAGAGAGGATTCTGCATTAGGCATAAAGTGGACAAAAACAACGTGACCAAAGTTAAAGATTTCGTGTTAAACTTTTCCTCTATCAAGCGTTCCCTTGTTACCTTCACAGACATATCTTTTTCATGTTTACCTTCGTTTTCAGGAGTTTCCACTAAGGAAAGAAGAGAAAAAGGAAAGAACAATAAGCATTTTTATAAAAATACTTTCACAGTCGTCATAAATCTCATTGCGAGGATCATCCCTTTATTTAGTACTTAACAGTCAATGCTCAAAACTCAGTGAAAGACTTCATGTTGGCTCATATTTTTTAAAAAAAAATGAGAGAGTTCCAGGAGAAAAGAAAACTATAACTGGCAAATCAAGAATCGCAGATTTTTATCGGCGAAGATGAAACAAAAAACCAAATATCTTGCAACAGAAAAGTTTTGGACATCAGAGATTTGCAGATTATTTTAATGGTGGGGTAATTTTTTCCTTGCTATTATGTGAGAGTGGCGCCTTCCTCAAAAATTTCAAATTCGTGCATGGTGTTGACTAATTTTAGTAGTTGCATAAGGTGAAAAACATATTTCATATCTTCGATTCATTAAAAGTTTAAACATTTTTCTTTTCGCCCAAGAACATTTTACTGTGGCGGTTTTGATGAAAGATGTACAAACTTCAGGGTTGTATAACATGATTTTAGTAAGGGCTAAATATCCAAGAAGTAGTATTGACTTAGAGGGAAGCTCGTGCATTGATACATCAGCCTCGGGCTTCTTTTATCACAAGTCAAGAGAGACAGAAAAATAGTGAATCTCTATTCAATTATATTCTTACTATCTATTAGTAACTTAAAACAAACTTACGACTGACAAAAGTAGAAGGGATTTTTTTTTTAAACAAAAAACCTACGTTTCCTCTTCCCTAGGGCTATTTTTCCGTTATTGCATGAGTAAAACAAGAGACTTTGTGTTCTCGGCTTGGGCCCAAATATGCTTTGGGTGCGACTCAGAATCATTAAAACGACTCTGAGAAGGGCCCAAAACATTTTCATGCTCAAGAGTATCAACTGTACTTCTATAATTATCACTGGTGAAAACTGAAAAAAAGACAGCAAAAAATTTCGAACAATCTCGGGAGCTAAGCATTTTAGACTCCTAAAATCTTCATTTTAGCCCGCAAAATAAGTCACAGCGTCCGACAAAATGATAATAGCAGTTTCTTTTAAAGCACAAAAGAGCAACTTACTTTCTGGTCCCTCTTGGGCTCCTGGATGAAGAAAAGTAAGGAGAAAGAAAGAAACAGTTTTTGAAAAGAACTTTTAAAGTAAAAATCAAGATTTGCTACAAGAAATATCTTTAACCTGTTAAATCGATGAAGGTCATTAGCAGTAGAAATGCAATAAGCCAGATCTTTGACGCCATGTTTCTGGTGGGGAGACGAACTCTAAATCCAATGAAAAATTTGTTGTGCAAAACTTATACTTATATGGTATCCCGAACTGAAAACTGAAAACTGATACTGGCTATTGCAATAGTATTGTTTGAGTATTTATCAGATCATATTGCCAAAATAATGTAATATGCAATACCCACGTCAAACCCGCATGTATATTTAGCCTTCTAGCACCCACGCAAAGGTTATTGGCTTAAGTAAGATGATCCAAAACATCAGATTCTTAGTATTAGCATACGTGTCTGTTCAAATACAAAGCGTCGAACTATGCAGTATCTAAAAACAGAGTCTAATAACAAATTTATCAAATCATATTACAAAATAATGTAATATGCAATACCCACGTCAAAACATACATGTATATTTAGCCTTCTAACACCCACGCAGAGGTTATTGGCTGAAGTAAGATGATCCAAAACATCAGATTCTTGATATCAGCATACGTGACTGTTCAAATACAAAGTATCGAACCATGTAGTATCTAATAGCAGAGTCTAATGATTTTTGAAACAAGAGCGGCTTAATAACATGATCCTTCGGTATAATATTGCAGGAAATGTAAAAAATACCCTCCCGTACATGTCTTTTTATTCCATCCAATAAAATTTTCATCCAACAGCATTCATCAAATATTTTTCTGTAAGATTTCCCCCGCAAGTTTTCTCTTTGGTAATTCATAAATTTCTATCGCCTACAGGCATTGTTGTTCTTGTTTATTTGGCAGCGTATCTCAGATTAATATTCTTGCAGTATCTCATCAGTTTCTGTCCTCTGTTTACTTTTGTTTTGTCTAGTGTTGCCGATGGCCACAGTGGGTTATTTTCAGATAGAACACAGAGCCCCCAGCAGATGTTTCGTTTTTGTCTTTTTTAAAGTTGTCCTATTTCAGTATTACATCTGCGCACCTCTAAGTCGGTTTTTCTATGATCGCCTTTGAGTTCTCTGTGGTGGCCTCTATATAGTTATTTTATTGCGCAAACATTGATTTCTAGAAGACAATAATTCATATGTTAGCCTTTTAATAATAGTGTTCATTTTGTATTCTCGATGCACAAACAAAGTCTTCCTTTTTCAGAACGTGAAAATGCACAAAACCTTGTAACAACCAGAAACTCGATAGAAGCTATTAATATTTGTACGCTAGGTTGCAAGCTATGGTTTCCCGTCGCGCAGTTGTTGGTGGAGTATGGTCCATGTTTATCCCCTCAGCCGGTATCTCTTATTGAGGATGTGTAGTCATTAAAACGATCCAGGGATCACCCAAGAGAAGGGGGAGGAAATTTGGTTTGAAGAGTATCAGAAGCGCAGCAGACAAGGAAATGGCTAAAACGGGGATAGGACGGGATTTATGATTTTCGACGCCTTGCCTGGGAATATGATGAGTGGCAAAAGTCTTTGCAAGCTATGCTAGTTTTTAAATTTTTTTTTCTATAATTTTCATCTCCTCTTCTCCTCCAATTCAATATTGCCTGTTGGTAACAATGATGCTTTCTAATTTCAGGCAACATCGTTTGGGGGCAAAAGGAGGACTTCAAAAAGACTTATTCAAGATGAAATGCAAGATTTCTGTTTATCATATTGGAGTGGAGGATTGTTGAACACCTACCTAGAGGAAGCGTGTAAATTACTTTTGCTAATCATTATTGTATAGTTATACCGGTTTAAGGATAATCCTGAATAACCTCAGCCTGACTTGGAAAGGAAAGAATCACAGGTCTGCTTTGAAAAGATAGCTTCTCTAAGTTAAAGGTTTTTAATTAAACAGTTGACAAGAAAACCGAGGAATACATCCTCGAGGTATCTTGATCATACCCAGGCCAGCTAGACTCAAGGAATTCATCCTGCCCATGCTTTTATTTCTATAGTAACATCAGTTGGACTTGAGAAAAAAAAAGGCAATTTAAAGTATAGCTCGGAAAAGCAATCTTCATGGGTGAAATTATACTTGGTTTCTTCTTAGGAATTCTCGCATATCAGATATGGAGTTCGTTATCAGCACATTCCATCGCTGTGTACTTAAGGTAAATATTAGTACACTAAAATGATATATGTTGTACGCTGAGATTAAATCAAATATTACGTGAACTGAAATCAAATATTATTACGCTGAAATTCAATCTTAGCACACCGAAATTAAGTATTTGCTCACTGAAATATCAACTCTTAGACCTACTGGCTGACTCACTACTCACGCAACTTAATGGAAAACGGTCTTGTTTTCTCAGATCTCAGTCCTTACTTCTAAGTGTGATAATTACAAATAATATGGATGTATATTTCAGGTGAATTAGCTAAAGCAATTCGTAAAAATAAAACTCTTTGGAAACAAACAAAGAAATCTGATGATTTAGCGACTAAAGAAAAATTCCGCAAGGAAAGACAAAGGATTAAAAATTGGATTCGTCTCGAAAGAACTCTATACTTCAATGATTTGGCAAACAACGGCTTTTTCAAATCCTAAAAAGTTTTGGTCTTTTTTTTCGTTTAAATCTCGTACCAAACGATTACCCGATGAAATGTCTTATCAAGGGAACAGTACCACCGATGACGTACAAAAAGCTGAAGTTTTTCAACATTTCTTCAATTCAATTTATACAGATCACTCCTCTTGTGAAATATCAAATGCATTAACTTTGAACCCTCTGATCAACAACCGCTTAAGCACTATTGTGGTGACCACTGAAGAAATTATTAAGTTGTTATCTTCACTTGATATATCTAAAGCTCCTGGTCCTGACAATATGCCTACAATTGTTCTCAAAAAATGCGCAAGTACTCTAGCTCCTTCAACGACTGCTTTTATAAACTCTTCTTTCGTCAATGGTTATTGTTTATCATCATGGAAAACCCGCAAATGTTTGTCCTGTACATAAGAAAGAAAAGAAATCTGAAGTAGAAAATTATCGACCAATCTCTTTAATGCCAATATTGGCAAAAGTCTAAGAGAGATGTGTTCTAAATCATCTTTTGGCGCATATTTCTCCCTGTTTGTATGACATGCAGCATGGCTTCCTTAAAGGTCTGTCATGTACAACTCAACTGTTGGAAGTCCTCCACGAACTTGATCAGACTCTTGATAGTGGCCTGGAAACTGATGTCATTTATCTAGATTTTTCTAAAGCCTTTGACTCTGCGTGTCATGCGAAACTTTTGACAAAGCTTCGCAAGTTTGGAATTGACGGTTCACTGCTGGACTGGTTTTCGAGTTATCTCACGGGGCGACAACAGCGTGTTGTCGTAAATGGCAGTTTTTCAACTTGGAGTATAATTAAGTCTGGAGTTCCACAGGGCTCAATTTTAGGTCCAGTACTGTTTTTGATGTTTGTAAATGACATGCCGAATGTTCTAAAGTCCTCGTCTCTAGCTATGTATGCTAATGACTCGAAATGCTTCAAAACCATCAAAGCTGCATCTGATATCTGTGACCTCCAAGATGATTTAAATCTCCTCTGCAACTGGTCATCCTTAAAGGAACTGTACTTCCAGCCTATAACGCGTCACAATCTGAGAATAAGCAGAAAGAAAACTAGCTTGCCACGTATATATAACCTAAACAATACCGAGCTAAAGCTTGTCACCAAAGAAAGGGACCTTGGGCTTACAGTCACTAAGGACCTCACATGGAACGAACATACAATTCAGACTGTCTCTAAAGCTAACAAACTTTTGGGATTTATTAAGAGACATTGTCATACAATTCGAAATAAAAAAACTTTAACTTTATTATACTCTTCTTTGATAAGATCGCATTTTAGTTTCGCTTCACAGGTTTGGGCCCCACAGTCTGTAATTAAGAACCTTCCATTAGTTGAAAGGACTCAAAGACGAGCTATTAAATTCATTTGCAAAAACAAGAACATGAGCTATCAACACCGTCTAATTCATCTTAATTTACTGCCCATTAATTATTGGCTTGAATATTTAGACCTGCTTTTCTTTCTTAAATGTAAACTAGGGATCGTTAGACTTAGCTTAGAAAACTATGTTAAATTTTGTAATAGCAAATCACGTCGTGGTGCATCGGGAATTTACCTAACAACACCTTACTTTCGAACGTCACTTTTTAGGGATTCATTTTTTGTAAGACTTTCTAATATTTGGAATGCTGTTCCCGATCATATCAAAGCTGAAACTTCGTTGTCTTGTTTTAAAACTAAGCTCAAATTTTTCTATTTTCTTAGGTTAAATCCAATATATGATGGAGATAATGTTCGTACCTTTAAGTTGATTTGTCCCAAATGTCGTAAAGTTAATGCTTTTACAGTTTGTTCTTGTTAATTCCGCAGTCAGTTGTAAAATATGTACTATATGTTTGTTCTTTTTCTTAATGCGTTGGGTTGGGATTTTAAATCTAATTTAGGATTTGGGATTAAGGGTGTAAACCTATATACAACGAAAAGTCAGAGTCCTATTGTATTTACACCCACCTTCGGGTGAATCATTAAATAAAAAAAAAAATGTTAGAAACACTAACCTCTTAATTAAAATCTCAACCTAAATTAAAAAAAACAAAAACCCTTCCTCTAAGATAAGTTTAGTGTTCCATAGTCAGTTGCAGAGATCTAGAATGCCTTCAAAACCCTGTAGAATGAAATATTGGGTCAACATGTACCCGTTACTACGTCCAAGTAAGAGCTCGTCCCATTCCTTCGCTCTGAAGAAGCGCGAACGCTTATGGTGTCTACTCCATTTCAGCTATTGACGAGAATATTCGAGAGTTAATGAAGACCACATATCTTTGACAAGGTTCACTGAGAATTTCAAATGACCCTGCCGCTTTGTCGTGCTACAAAAGTTTTAAACGCGATGAAAAGCGGAAGAATTTTGATTGGTTCTCACTCGGTTACCGATTGGAGGACAGGCATAGATGACGTCTCCATTCACGCCATTTTGCCTTTTAGAGAGAGAGACTATATTTCAAGAGGGTAGCACCGAGAAGACTAGAATATCTAACCATTTCTTGATGTTATAGAAGGGTAGCAAATTCTTCTCAATTATTTTAAGACCCTGAGTGTTGGTCCGGCCCGGGCTCGAACCCTCAACCTCCCGCACAACAGTCAAGCGCTCTATCCATTGAGCTAACCGGGAGGCGGTAGTTTGTATAAAACAAATTAGCCTGTTTGTAGGCGGTAGTTTGTGTTTTAAAGCGCGAGATTCAGCACGGCTAACATTCATTAGCCATATTGGACAAGAGGAAGATCTGGGACGAGTGACAAGGCGACGGGGAGGGGGAAAGGGGAGAAAAAAAAAACCAATAGCCTGCTTCAGTAGGCGGTAGTTTGTGTTTTAAAGCGCGAGATTCAGCACGGCTAACATTCATTAGCCATATTGGACAAGAGGAAGATCTGGGACGAGTGACAAGGCAAGGATGAGGTGGGAAGGGGAGGAAAAACAGAAAAACCTTATGGGTTGCTGTACATCGGTTCACTTTTTTGTTGTTGCCACATTTTGACGTCATCTGTAATCTATAACTGAACAGATTTGTTGATTTTACAATACCCTAACCCGGGTGGGGAAGGCATCCCATGCAGGGTGATGTAGCACAAATTTTTTCGTGGAGTGAAAATTTTGTGTAGTAGCTAAAAATTTTGTAACATAGAACAAAATGTTTCTGCAATTTACTTGTTCGTAGTGATTAAGACAGACAATTTGAATAGCAAAACTTAATAGCGGCGAGGAAGAGACCTGGTGCAGAGATGGAGGTGAGAAAATCTTTGGACAAAGATTACTTTTCTGGTGCCCAAAGACATGATTGTTGTTTTGATGACTACAATGCCAAGGAACATTCTAAGTAATTGTGCATTCTTTGTGAACATGAAGTCTAATTCAGGATTTTAGAAGTTCACTCGCACAATATTTATTGTTCGTGCTCGGCTCATCTTGCTGGAGTTTGTACTGAAAAGAATTTTTTGGGAGAGTGTAACTAGCATATCAGTGAACTGAAGTGAAGCCACAAAACTGTGTGAAAATTATCAACTTTATTTTATTCCATTGTGAAGAACAGCATGAATTTTTATGTTACTTAAAGTGCGTTTAATGGGTTTTTGTGTAAAAGTTTCAGGAAAACATGTTCATAAATGTATCAAGAATTACCTTTTTAAACATCTGGATCACTTGGAAAATCAGAATCGCAAAATGATTTCATGTATATTGTTAAACTGGTAATAAAGAAAATTAGGTGAACTTTTACTTACAAATATCTTTATTCAACTAAAACCTCTTCCATCCTTTTCAGTTAAATTAACACTGTTATTGAGCATAATGTCTAGAGAATAGTTCCCTTTTTCTGCTCTTAAGGAAACTGCATTGACAAAAAATTTATGGAATGGCATCACCCTGGATAAAGAAGGGAAAAACAAGGAAACAACAAATTAGTGAGTATTTCAAACCTATTACTTCATTTATTACAATCACCAAGACACCTATAATACTCATATTATTGCACTTAGTAGACAGTCATCGGAAACCTTTCATAGCGGAGCTCCCACAGCATCCAGCGAAGTCGCATAGTCATCAAAAATGGGTAGTACAGTAACTCATCAAGGCAAGAAACTTTGCTCTACGACGTGACCGTTTTACTGGCCTTCCTTACATGGTGCTACTTTAAGCGCGTGCGAACAATTCAAATATGGGCATAAAAGTCCTGGCTTTACAACGGAGAAGGGAAACCTCTCAAGGAGGAACGTAATACGCATGCGTTCTTGCATCTGTAACTAGAAAATTGCATGCGCTTGCGCAGGTAAACATATGAGCAACATGATAATGTAGCCAAGAGAGAAGATTCGTCAACGGACAATAGAGAAGAAAATTCTGAAGGAAAAAAAAAGATAAAAAATTGGGCATTCATAAAGCTATTAAATTACCTGATATATTCTGATTGATCCAATTAATCAAACTGCTAACCCGGGCAAACACCGTGTAGGAATCGGTTTGGCACTGCGTGGGCCTCCAACTCGTGACCCCTCTCAAGACCCAGCGGGTTCCTTCAAGACAAGAAAAAGGTCCGCCACTGTCCCCCTTAAAAAAAAAAAATAATACCAAATTCGATATACAACGAAAAGTCAGGTGCCTCGTTAAACATAATTTCTGATTAATTGTCTTTACACTCGCATCGAGGCCTGTTAGTGAGCGACCGAAAGTAATAATAATAATAGTAATAATAGTAATAATGCGATGTTGTAGTTACTAACAGGAATGATTTATTGACAATTAATCGTTACGTATATGTTTCATATGTTTGTTGTTGTTTGAATTAATCGTTAGTTGAACAAGAAGTCAACTGTTCAAATAATTTCACTAAGGATTGCGCCCTTTTTTCAACTCATTAACCATGTTCACTTCATTATGAAAATTTGCTTTAGAGCTGGCGAATCCTTCAAGACTTCTTCCTGCCATGCAAAGGAATGCAAAATATTATGACTTTGTGGAGTCATAGCTTCGATCATTGTCGTCAGCAGATAAATCTCAAACTTAGCAAACTTACTTATTTCGTAAATTTTAGCGTACCAATTCATCCTTTGAGGTGAAAAGAAGAAAAGAAAAAAGCAGTGCAAAGGCCTACTTCATGAGAATATAGGCTAACTTTTACAAAACCTCTTCCTCATTTAATACTATGTATTCCGTTTACCGAGCAACCACCAATGTCTCCGTGACCTCCAGCGCACAACATCGACCTCTTATCGACAGGAAATGTCAAAGGAAAGGCACTGTTACGTTTTACGCAGTCACTGTGACTAGCAACAGGCAGGTCGGCTTGCTGGAGGATGTCGGCCCAAGGTCCAAACGCACGGGTGAATCCCCAGCCTAAAATGATACATTAGTTAATTGCTGTTACAACTTTAGCTGAATAAGCATGGACTTTTTGTTACAAAAGAAAGCATAATAGAATATAGAATATTTACCGGTGATAGTACATCGTGTTCCTGGTGGAATTCTAGATCCCTGTTGGGGCAAGCAGACCAGATTTACCCTGAGGCTCTTCGTGACATTGCGATCTAACTCCAAAAGTGCGATGTCATTTTTTGACGTGTCCCAGCTAAACTTCGGATGTGTTATAAGCCTTTTGACTCTGAATGTTTCTTGAACAGGCGTCGAACCGGATAAGGAATGTGCACCTAAAAGGAGGCAAATGCATTTTATATATTGCTTTATTACGAGCCTTTATTATATACCCCTTTCCCAGCTTCTTTAGGGGTGTAAAGCAGCGCTGGTACCGTTCCGCGACTTTCCATAGAACAGGTTGTAGGAAAATTCATTACCTGACTCGTGAATTCCGCGTTAAATTGCACCCGAAAACCGATATCGCACGAATCGCGAAGCGATGAGCGCGATATCGGTTCTCAAGTGCAATTTAACGCGGAATTCACGAGTCAGGTGATGAATTTTCCTTGAATCGCATAACTGAATGAAAATAAGAAAACAAGAAATTAAATCGGCTGTATTATTGTTTGTTGTTATCCCGAGCGCGCGCTCTAGAAGTAGAAAGCCATTTCAAAGCCAATTGTCAGAAGTGTCATTATGTTAGCGAATAGAAAGCAAGGTTAGTCGTACACGTTTGAACCTTCGACAATTTTATTTGTACCTCGTGCTTGATTTTACATTAATTTTCGAACTTTTAAACAAGCTTCACACTATTTAAGGATAATGTTGGTATTTCACTGAATTTACAAGCCGTTTATCGTTAACATCTTTTTTTTCAAAATTCCAAATAATTTGCTCGAGAAGGAAAATAATTTACACCTTTTACCTTTTCGGTGGCAAACTGAGAGAAATGAAGTATGCAAACGAAAGCACTGATTTCAAGTGCAATAACATCGCGATTGATATAAGTTAAGTGCCTTAAAGTGTAAATACGTGTATTGATCGATTCTTCATTCCTTTAAAAACAAAGAAGTGTTTCATAAAAAGTCCAAAAACTTTACTCTTTTTATTAGTAGAAATCCACTACAGGCGACTGCCATTAGCTGAATCGTTGGGATGAGCATTCGACTGAAAGTTGATGGAAATATTCACTGGAGAGTTGTTGAACGATACATTGGTGAACAATCCACCTAGCCTCTTGCTGCTAGATCATGCCGATATTCATTGATGCTGTGTTATTGCCAACTACTGATGGAGTACAAGGCTGTTGACATAAATTTCTCGCAAAGCTTTAGTGCGTGGACCGTCGCTGGCGTTGGCAGCTGTGACAGTCGTAGTGGTACGACTGAAAACCCAGCCAACTTGCTTGACATCCTTTGTTGTTTTTCTAAAAGATTATGGCTGCAGATGGATATTGAACCCGGGTTGGCGTGACCTATTAGCTCGGGGATTGCTTTTTCTGGGCCGTGTTCACAGGATTTTCTCGCTTTCGAGTTGTCGCGAGCGAAAGAGGTTTTGATGCCTCTCCAAGAATTTGAAGTTCAGTTCAAAACAAGGAAGAACCTCAGACTTACTTTGAAAACCTTTTTTTGTTTTTGCTCTCTAGAAGGTGAGAATGGTTTTGAAAACAGTTTAAATTGACTTAGAAACCAAACTTTGTTACAATTTGACGATAGTTGTTGTGCTTACCTAGATGCGAAACAATTTCACTTAGCCTCGTTTTCAACTCGCAATTCTACGCTAAATACCTCGCTTCGTTAACCAATCAGAATGCGAGATTTTATTCAATGATGCGATTCAAAGGGGGGTAGTCTCAGGGTTAAATTGAGATCATCCATGAATATTTCTTCTCAAGTCAGAATAATTAAGTGAGACAAGCAATTAACCTCAGTCCATATATTTAATAGGATACAACAGTACCTCTTAACAGCGATACTACTAAACAACATGTCGAGTTTTCCCTTTCCTTACCAACAACAACCGTGTACACACTTGGCGTCCGTTCAAATAGGCAGTGAGCGGCAGTAAGAACCCAGTTGGTTCTGATCAGTGAACCACCACAATGATGAGCTCCTCTTCTTTTGAGTGAAATCATCCATGGCCATGAGTTGGGCGTGGCGTTCAGACCACCAATCACGAGGGATTTAGTAGGGCGGAAACCGCATGCTATATAGAGAATAGAACATGAACAATAAATTGGATATAAATGTCGGTTCAGGCTGCTTTCATTGATGATGTTCGCTATATTAGACTTCTATTGAACGGCAAGATGAATATTGTCCTAGACTTTGCATCTAAAAACTATGTTTCCGTATTTACGGTTTGATCATTAGATGAAATTTAACTAACGCTACGAACAGTTCTTCTCATGGCATGTCACTCACGTTCCCACACTCTCTCATTCAAAGCAATGATTATATATACCAAACAATCACAACTGAATATACTCCTATATATTTTACAACGACTAAAATACACCTTTGAAGATGCATCCAGATGAATAAATATCAGATTTGGGTTGCATCAAAAATGTTTCAGTGATGAATTAAGAGACTTACCCGGTAATTTTAAAAATGGTGACAATGATGAGTTATTCTCTGGAGCTGGAAAGAATGAATACAATATGATACCGGAGCCCCAATGCGCGCAGTGCGTCAGTGGAGCTCCAAAAGTAAGAGGATGTGTTAACCTATTGAGAAGAAAATGTTTTTTCCTGAGGTCTGTCCGTTTGAATGCACTTCAATGACTTTCTAACTAACTCCTGCCATCTACACGCGGATGAAAAAAAAAAAAGAAACTAGAAAATATCTTTTGAGTTCCTTCTCCATCGAGATAAACATTTGACGACTGTAGATTTAAAGAGACAAAATGAGCGTTTAACTTTACTAAGCGAAGTCCTGTTGGAAGATGCACAGACTTAAATTTAGAGATTACCATACCCCCCTTAAAAATCAATGTTAAGTGTTTTTAAACATGTCCATGTTGATATGCTCCTGGTCAATGCTGTGGTGCAACCTAGGAGTTTGTATTAATTCAAGTAGCTTTCAGAATTATAAAGGCAAAGCGAACACTGATAGTAGTTCATTCTGAAAAAATAAAATGCGTCTAATTTTTTAATTTGTCATGTTTCTCTGCTACAAACTGTATAGGTGTATCTTTGTGTGTACCTTCGAATTCAGGAGTTTCCACTGTGAAAAAAAGGAAAATGAATGAGAAAGGATTCTACATTAGGCATAAAATGGACAAAATCAATGTGACAAACTTAAAAATTTCGTGTAAAACTTTTGCCCTTTCAAACGTCCCCTTGTTACCTTCAAAGCCATACAGACATATCCTTTTTCATGTTTACCTTCGTTTTCAGGGGTTTCAACTAAAGAAAAGAAGAGAAAAAGAGAAGAACAATAAGCATTGTTCCACAGAAAGAGTCGCCATAAAAATCTCATTTGAGATGATCATCCTTTTATTGAGGACTTAACAGTCAATGCTCAAAACTCAGTGCAGGAATTCTTGTTGGCTCATATTTTCAAAAAGAAATCTGAGAGAGTCCCAGGAAAAAGGATAACTTTAACTGGCAAATCAAGAATAGCAGGCTTTTATCGGCGAAAATGAAACAAAAATCTGAATAATTTACAACAGAAAAGTTTTGGACATCCGAGATTTGCAAATTATTGTAATGGTGGGGTAATTGTTTCCTCGCTATTATGTGAGAGTGACGCCTTCCTCAAAAATTTGAAATTCGCGCATGCTGCTGTTGACTAATTTAGGTAGCTGCATAGAGTGAAAAACGTAATTCAGATCTTCGATTCATTAAAATCTTGAAAAGTTTTTCTTTCGCCCGAAAAACTTTTATTGTAGCGGTTTTGATGAAAGATATACAAACGTCAGAGTTATATAATACGATTTTAGTAAGGGCTAAATATTCAAGAAGTAATATTGTAAAAAGGGAAAGAATAACTCCTCTAGATTTCCGCAAGACTTTATTCTTGTCTTGATGATCTACGTACAAATTCAAGACTTTCCGCCCTAGTTTCCAACAGATTTCCAACCAAACTTTCCTTCTTTCATTGAGTTATTTTTCGAGTCTACCACAACATGTGCGAAGTAAAAATCCTAGGTCAAATGTCAATCAAGTATCGTGTTCCGATTGGATAACTAGACAACAGTACAAATCATGTGCGACTGAGTAACGAAATCTAAAGTAACGAAATCTATAGTAACGAAATCTATTTTCAACAAATATTGACTTGGAGAAAAGCTCGTACGATGGTAAATCAGCCTCGGACTTCTCTTATCACAAGTCAAGAGAGACAGAAAAATAGTGAGCCTCTATCCAATTATAGTCTTACTATCTACTAATAACTTAAAACAAACTTACGACTGACAAATGTACAAGGGATTTTTTTTAATAAAAAACCTACGTTTCGCATTCCCTAGGGCTATTTTCCATACACAAGAGACCTTGTGTTCTTGGGCACAAATATGTTTTGGTCTCGGCTCAGAGTCATTAAAACGACTCTGAGAAGGGCCCAAAACATTTTCATGTTCAAGATTATCAACTGTATTTCTATAATTATCATCTTGGTGAAAACCGAAAAAAAGAAGACAACAAAGTTCGAACAATCTCGCGAGCTAAGCATTTTAGTCCAACAAAATCTCCAATTTAGCCCGCACAGTGTCCAACAAAGTGATAATAGCAGTTTCTTCTAAAACACTAGAGAGCAACTTACTTTCTGGTCCCTCTTGGGCTCCTGGATTCAGAAAAGGAAGGAGAAAAAAAGAAAAAGTTTTTGAAAAGAACTTTTAAAGTACAAATCAAGATTTATTACAAGAAATATCTTTAACCTGTTAAATCGATGAAGGTCATTAGCGATAGAAATGCAATAAGCCAGACCTTTGACGCCATGTTTCTGGAGGGAACACGAACTCTAAATCCAATGAAAAATTTGTTGTGCAAAACTTATATTTATATGGTATCCCGAACTGAAAACTGAAAACTAATACCGGCCATTGCAATAGCATTGTTTAAGTATTTATCAGATCATATTACCAAAATAATGTAAAAGACAATACCCACGTCAAAACATACATGTATATTTAGCCTTCTAACACCCACGCAGAGGTTATTGGCTTGAGTAAGATGATCCAAAACATTAGATTCTTGCAATTGACATCAGCATACGTGACTGTTCAAATACAAAGCGTCGAGCCATGATCTAATAACAGAGTCTAATGACAAATTCATCAGATCATATTACCAAAATACTGTAATATGCAATACCCATGTCAAACCCGCATGTATATTTAGCCGTCTAACAGCCACGCAGAGATTATTGGCTTGAGTAAGATGATCCAAAACATCAGATTCTTGCATCAGCATACGTGACTGTTCAAAAACGAAGCATCGAACCATGCAGTATCTAGTAACAGAGTCTAATAATAAAGCGTTTTAATACCATGATCCTTCGGTATAATATTGCAGGAAATTATAAAAATACCCCCTCATGTATGTTTTTTTTTTCGTCAAGTAAAATTTTCATCTAACAGCCTTTTTTCAAAGATTTTTCTATAGTATTTCTCTTGCAAGTTTTCCCCTCAGTAATACAGAAATTTCAATGGCCTACGGGCATTGTTGTTCTTGCTTATTTGGCAGCGTATCTCAGATTGATATTCAGTGGGTGATTTTCAGATCAAAACAACGTGTCCCTTATGGATGTTTTTTTTGCCGTTCGCCACAGTGGGTTATTTTCAGATAGAACAAAGAGTTCCCGGTGGATGTTTTTGTTTTTGTTTTTTTAGTTCTCCTATTTCAGTATTGCATCTGCACACCCCTGGGTCCGTTTCTCTATCGATCGCCTTTGAGTTCTCTGTGGTGGCCTCTATATAGTTATTTCATTGCACAAACATTGAGTTCTAGAAGACAAGAATTCATTTGTTAGCCGTTTAATAGTGTTCATATTGTATTCTGAACGAACAAAGTCTTCCTTTTTTCAGAACGTGAAAATACACAAAACTATCTGGCGACCAGAAACTCGATAAAAGCTATTAACATTAAGACGCTCAGTTAAAAGCTATGGTGTCGGAGTAGATGTTGGTGGGGTGGGGTGGGGTCCATGTTTATCGCCTCTCCCGGCATCTCTTATTGATGATGTGTAGTGATTAAAATGATTCAGGGATCACCCAAGAGGAGGGGGAAGAAATTCGGTTTGAAGAGTATCAGAAGAGCAGCAGACAGGGAAATGGCTAAAACGGGGATACGAAGGGATTTATCATTTTTCGACGCCTTGCCTAAGAATATAGTGAGTGGCAAGTCTTTGCACGCCATGCTAGTGTTTTAATTTTCTTTTTCGATAATTTTCATTTACCTCCTCTTCTCCTCCATTTCAATATTGCCTGGTGTTAACAAAATGCTCTCTAATTTCAGGCAACATCGTTTGGGGGCAAAGGAGGGGACTTATTCCAGATAAATTGCAAGATTTCTGTTTATCATTTTGGAGTGGAGGATTATCGAACACCTACATAGGGGAGGCGTGTAAACTACCTGTGCTAATCATTGTATAGTTATACTGGTTTAAGGATAATCCTGAATAACCTCAGCCTGACTTGGAAAGGAAAGAATCACAGGTGTTCTTTGAAAAAGATAGCTTCTATAAGTTAAGGTTTTTAATCAAACAGTTGACATGACAACCGAGGAATACATCCTCGAGGTATCTTGATGATACCCAGGCCAGCTAGACTCAAGGAATTCATCCTGCCCATACTTTTATTTCTATAGTAAAGTCAATTGGACTTGAGAAAAAAAGGCAATTCAAAGTATAGTTCGGCAAAGCAATCTTCGTGGTTGACTTTATGCTCGATAACTACTTAGCAATTCTCACATAAACGATGTTATCAGCACATTCCATTGCTGTGTACTAAAAGTAATTATTATCCAATTGTGCTTCGTAGAGTACAAATAGCGCCATAGACGAGTACAAATATCACGCGATATTTGTACTCCAGAAATATCCACGAAATTCGCCCGCACTGAAATGACAATTTGGCGTGTAGGATAACAAATCTCTTATTAGACGTTTGTATTTCGACGAGCCCTACAGGCTTGTCAAAATACGGCACAACTCGTGAAAATACTCAGCGATACTACACAACAAAACGACTGATAAGATATATATATTAGTGCACTAAAATGATATATGTTGTGCGCTGAGATTAAATCAAATAATACGTGTACCGAAACCAAATATTATTACACTGAAATTCAATTTTAGCACACAGAAATCAACTATTTACTCACTGAAATATCAACTCTTGGACCTACTGGCTGAGTAACTTCTCACGCAACTTAGCGGCAAACCGTCTATGCTTTCTTAGATCTCAGTCCTTACTTCTAAGTGTGATAATTACAAATAATATGGATGATTCACAACAAATAGCATGGTTGTGAACCACGCTATTTTGTCTGCCAAACTGAAACAGCTACCCCTAAATCCGTACATTATCAATTGGTATCATAGTTTCCTCTATGCAAGACAACAACGTGTCGTTAGTTACAAATTTTTAGGACAGTGTAAATCTGTCAATAGAGGAACCACACAAGGTAGTGTAAGCGGAGCGTATCTTTTTAATACATTGTTGAATGACTTAGAGATTTTTTTTTTTTTTTAATGGCTGCCCTGTGCTTTTTAAATATGCCAGTGATTCCGCTATTCTTTCGCCTATTACTAGGAATGGCGACCCGTCTGCCGACTTAGTAGGACAGTTCTTAACATGGTGTAAAGACAATAGAATGGTCTGCAACTCTTGCAAATGTAAAGAGCTGGTTGTTGGAAAGAAAAATCACAGTGTACTCTACTCTCCAATTAATAATATTCCCCAATGTAATAGCTTCGTTTTACTAGGAGTAACTCTACAGAGTGACGGAAAATTTGATGAGCATGTAAGAACTAAGGTTGTCAAAGCAAACAAGTGTTTACACGTCCTAAGAACATTGATCTATCTCAGGCAGAGATAGATCATTTTTTTATATCCATTGTTTTGCCTAGTTTTAGTTATGCGCTTTCAGTCTATGGGGCATCTGAGTCCGATCTTATGGTTGTACAAAATTTTTTAGACCGATGCCATAAACGCCGTTGTATTTCATTTCCAGTTTTTCTCAAGAACCTATTAAACAAACAAGACCGAAACATTTTGAAGAAATTAATATCAACGGATTACCACCCCCTGAAAGACATCACTCCTGTCCAGACGACTTATGAACACAATCTTAGGAATAAAGGCTGCACAAGCCCGAAAATTAATACACAGCGCTTTATGAACACCTTTGTAAATAGGTTGATATTTAAGCTCCATTTATTGTAATGACACACTTTTTAATTCATATTATATATGTAGATTTCTACAGTAGTTTTTTCCAAATTCATTGTAACATAAGATATGTAGTTTTATCTTTTGATGGAATAAAGACTTTTATTGTTATATTATTATGTTAGTATCACTAACCTCTTATATAAAGTCTCAACCTAAATTAACAACGACAAAAATCCTTCCTCAAAGCTAAGTTCAGTGTTCCATAATCAGTTTCGGAGACCTAGAATGCCGTCAAAACCCTGTGTAGGTACGTTAAGAACTTTGTCAAGATTGCCAAACCCGCTTCTGACTTGTTAACCACGACAGCGAAAGGTGGACGGCCACCCTCAAAGACACTGGTATACTGGGGAGGAGAGCAGAAACAAGCCCTTGAGGAGTTGGTTGGACACCTCGGCAATCCACCTATTATGGCTCATCCAGATTTCTCAAATCCATTCACCTTTCATACCGATGCAAGTAAAGATGGCCTTGGTGCAGTGCTGTACCAAAGTCAGGATGGAGACAATTATGAAAGTAAGTGCGTATGCCTCACGAGCACTGTCAGCAGGTGAAAAGAAGTACCACCTCCATGCAGACAAACTTAAGTTTCTGGCTCTAAAATGGACAGTGACCGAGCAGTTCCGCGACTACCTTTACTATTCTCAAAAGTTTACTGTTTTCACGAATAATAACCCCTTGACGTACATTTTAACATCAGCAAAATTGAATGCGACAGGTTTACGTTGAGAACCTTCTAAGTACTTGTGCATTCTTAGTGACCACGCAATTTGTTGTCAAAAATGACACATTTTGCTTTGTTGATATTCTAATTTAGGATTTTAGTAGTTCTCTCTCAGAATGGTTTATTGTTCGTACTCTGTTCATCTTGTTTGAGTTTGTACTGAAAAGAGCCTATTGGGTGAGTGTACATAACTGAAAATTGTCACTTTTATTTTATTTCATCGTGCACAACTGCGTGAATTTTTATGTTACTAAAAAGTGCGTCACATGGGTTTTTGCGTAAACTTTCAGCAAACGTGTTCATAAATGTACTTTACTTTTCCTCTTTAAGCACCTGGTTTATTTGGCAAATCAGAATCGCAAAATGTTTTCATGTATATTGTTAACCTAGTAATAAAGAAAATTAAGTGAACTTTTACTTACAAATATCTTTATTCAACTAAAACTTCCTCCATCCTATTCAGTTAGAATAACATTGTTATTAAGCAAAATGTCTATAGAATAGTTCCTTTTTCGTTGACATGACTCCTTTTAACTTCTCTTAAGGAAACTGCATTGACTGAAAATTTATGGAATAGCATCACCCTATATAAAGAAGGGGGAAAAATTAGTGTGTATTTAAAACCTACTACGATATTTATTACAATCAATAGAACACCTAGGATACTCGTATCGTTGCACTTAGTTGACATGGATGGGAAACCCTTCGTAGCGGAGCTCGCAGTGCGCGCAGCAAAGCCCCATAGTCATCAAAATGGGGAAGTGCAATAATTCATCAAATCTCCTCCATCACGTGACTGTATCATTGGCCTTTCTTACAAGTTGCTGCTTTAAGCGTGCGCGAACTGTTGAAATGTGGGCCAAAAAATCCTGGCTTTACCTATGTAGATGGGAAACATCCCAGGAAAGAGGGTAATACGTATGCGTTCATGCATGTGCAAGTATAACATTGCGTACACATGCACAGATAAACAGATGAGCAACCTGATAATGTAGCCAAGAGAGAAGATTCGTCAACAGGCAATGTACAAAGAGTTGTGGAAAATTGAATCAACCAGGTAGATCTTGCAACCAGGTCTCACATGGGTAAAAATTCTGAAAAAAAAAAACTTGCAAATTGGGCATTCACGACGCTATTGAACTACCTGATATATTTTGGTTGATCCAATCAATGAAACTGCTGACCCGGGCAAACACTGAGTACAAATCGTTTTCGCACGGCCAGGGCACCATACTCGTGACACCTCTTACGACCCAGCGCGTTCCTTCAAGACAAGAAAGAGGTCCGCCACTGTCCCCCTGGAAAAGGACCAATTTTAATGTGATAGGAAAAGACAGGTGTGTCGTTATACATAATTTCTGATAAATTTTCTTTACCACGGACGACAGGAGTGATTTACTGACAATGAACCGTTAGTGTAACGAGAAGTCAACTGATCTAAATTCTTAAAATTCCACTAAGGATTGCACAATTTTGCAAACAACTCTTTAACCATGTTCACCTCATTATGAAAATTCGCATTAGAGCTGGAGAATCCTTCAAGGCTTTTATCAACTTTTTATTTGGATTAGTTAGCCGATATATATCGCCAGTGCTGAAAAGAGCAAGGAAAACTGACAGATTTGAGAGTTTTTCGATGACGCAGACCAAAACATATTTAAAAGGAGTGACAAGGGGGCATCGGTGCTCCCCGCCATACAAACGAATCCAAAATATTTCAACTTTGTGGAGTCAGTTTCGATCATTGTTCTTATCAGATCAATCTCAAGCTTAACAATCTCACTAATTTCATGACTGTAGGCTTACCGATTCATCCCTTGAGATGAAAAAGGAATAGAAAAAAAAGCAGTGAAAAGGCCTACTCCATGGACTAACTTTCTTAAAAATTCAGTTAGTGACGAATGTTACAAAAACGTCGGCTTTATCTAATAATATCTATTCCGTTTACCTTGCAAGCAGCACTGTCTTTTAGACCTCCAGCGCACAACATCCACCTCTCATCGACAAATGTTTCCGTATTACGTTTTGTGCAGTCACTGTGACTAGCAACAGGCAGTTCTTCTTGCTGGAGTATGTCGGTAATAGCTCCATAAGTACTGTTGAGTCCCCAGCCTAAAATGATACATTAGTTTAATTGCAGTTATATCTTCAGCTAAATAGGCATGGACTCTTTGTTGCAAAAGAAAGCATAATAGAATATAGAATATTTACCGGTGATGGTACATCGTGTTCCTGGTGGAATTCTAGATCCCTTTTGCGGCAAGCAGACCAGATTTACCCTGAGGCTCAGCGTGACTTTGCGATCTAACTCCAAAAGCGCGATGTCATTGTTTTCTGTACCCTGGGTATAATTCGGATGCGTTATAAGTCTTTTGACTTTGAATGTTTCTTGAACAGGCGTCGAACCGGACAACGAATGTGCGCCTGAAAGGAGGCGAATACATTTTATATATTGCTTTACTTACGAGTCTCTATGATAGACCCCTTTCTCGGCTTTTTTAGGAATGTAAAGCAACGCTTGTTCCGTTCCGCGACTTTCCATAGAACAGATGTAAAGAGGAGTAGTCTCAGGGTTAAGTTAAGATGATCCATGAATATTCCTTCTCAAGTCAAAATATTAAGTGAGACAACTAATTAACCCCCAGTCAGTATATTTAATAAGATACAACAGTACCTCTTAACAGCGATACTACTAAACAACATGTCGAGTTTTCCCTTTCCTTACCAACAACAACCGTGTACAGACTTGGCGTCCGTTCAAATAAACAGTGAGCGGCGGTAAGAACCCAGTTGGTGCTGATCAATGAACCACCACAATGATGAGCTCCTTTTCTTTGGAGTGAAATCATCCATGGCCATGAGTTGGGCATGGCGTTCACACCACCAACCACGAGGACTCTACTAGGGCGGAAACCGCATGCTATATAGAGAATAGAACATGAACAATAAATTGGATATAAATGTCGGTTGAGGTTGCTTTCATTAATGATGTTCTCTATATTAGACTTTTATTCAACGGCAAGATGAATATCTTCTCAAGCTTTGCATATGAAAACTATATTTCCGTGTTTACGGCCGGTTTATCCATTAAAGGAAAATCAATTAATGCTACGAACAGTTCTTCTCGTGATATGTCACCCACGTTCCCACACTCTCTCCCATATTTTACAACGACTAAGATACACCTTTGAAGATGTATCCAGATGCATAAATCTCAGATTTGGGTAACATCAAAAATGTTTCAGTGATAAAGTAAGAGACTTACCCGGTAATTTTAAAAATGGTGACGATGATGAGTTATTCTCTGGAGCTGGAAAGAATGAATACATATGCGTTATTAACCAAGCGTGAGGTCAAGATGGCTGGATATTGGCCGAGTTCTTTTTTTTTTGCATTTTTATGGACAGAGACGAAGTCGAGGTCCATAAAATGCGAAAAAAAGAACGAGGCTAATATCCAGCCATCCTGACCGAACAAACTTGGTCAATAAAAAAATTATTCTATTGCAAAAAGATTTCGCTTTATTGAGAACTAAGAATGACTTGTTTTCTTCGAGATCAAGAGCCCGGAAAGAAAGACACCTGAGTTTGAAGCACAACAAACTCACGAGAGACGTTTCTGTTTCCTTTTTTTTGACTATCTTCTACCGCTTTTTGCGTTTCCGTCGCTGAAATTGTCCAAGAGTTACGAACGTAGTTCTTATTCTATTTTTTTCATGCGCGGGATCAATGCGGGCAAGATGAGCCCATCTTGCCCACACGGGTAGCCAATCAGAACACAGTATTCGCTTCATCTTGCCCACGGATACTGCGTGCGATGTAATAAAATATGATACCGGAGCCCCTGTGCGCACAGAGCGTCAGTGGAGCTCCAAAAGTAAGAGAATGCGGCAACCTATTAAGCAGAAAATGTTTTTTCATGACGTCTGTCCGTTTGAATGCACTTCAATGACTTTCTAACTAACTCCAGTCATCTACACGCAGATGAAAAAAAAAAAAAAAGGACTAGTAAACATCTTTTGCGTTCCTTCTCCATCGAGATAAATATTTGTGGACTGCAGATTAAAAGCAAATATACTAAAAAATACTCGGATTTCCAAGAAGTGTTCTTACTTTCTGAAAAGAGAAAAAATGAGCGTTTTACTTTGACTAAGTGAAATCTTGTTGGAAAATGCTCTGACTTAAATTTAGAGATTACCAAGGCTTCGCAAAAATCAATGTTAAGTGTTTTTTAAATATATCTATGTTGATATGCTCCTGGTCTATGCTTTGGTATACCCTAGAAGCTTTTTTTTTCAACTAGCTTTCAGAATTCTAAAGCCAATGGATTTCAGACTGAAGCAAGAAGAATTGAATTGATCGGCGAAGCAAAGCGGAGATTGACGGTAATTCATTCTGAAAAATGAAATATGTCTAATTTTTTAAATTGTCATGTTTTTCGACTACAAACTGTATCGGTGTATCTTTGTGTTTACCTTCCATTTCAGGAGTTTTCACTGTGAAAAAAAGGAAAATGAATAAGAAAAGCTTCTACATTAGGCATAAAATGGACAAAATCAACGTGACCAAACTAAAAAATTTCGTGAAAAAATTTTCCCCTCTTCAAACGTTCCCTTGTTACCTTAAAAGCCAGACAGACATATCTTTTTCATGTTTACCTTCGTTTTCAGGGCTTTCCACTAAGGAAAGAAGAGGAAAAGAAAAGAACAATAAGCATTAAAAAAAAAAAACACTTCCACAGGAAGAGTCGCCATAAATCTCATTTGCGAGGATCATCCCTTTATTGAGTACTTAACAGTCAATGCTCAAAACTAAGTGCAAGACTTCATGTTGGCTCATTTTTTAAAAATAAATCTGAGACAGTCTAAAAAAGTCTGAGATTCTGAAGCAATGGATTTAAGATTTTTCAATTTTGTCATGTTTCTCGGCTACAAACTGTATCGATGTATCTTTGTGTTTACTTTCGATTTCAGGAGTTTCCACAGTGAAAAAAAAAAAAGGAAAATTAATAAGAAAGGATTCTGCATTAGGCGTAAAATGGACAAAATCAATGTGAACAATCTTAAAAATTTCATGTAAACTTTTCCCCTTTCAAACGTTCTCTTGTTTCCTTCAAAGCCATACAGACATATCATTTTTCATGTTTACCTTCGTTTTCAGGGGTCTCCACTAAGGAAAGTAGAGAAAAAGAAAAGAACAATAAGCATTTTAAGAACAACACTTCCACAGAAAGAGCCGCCATAAATCTCATTTGCGAGGATCATCCCTTTATTGAGTACCTAACAGTCAATGCTCAAAACTCAGTGCAAGACCTCTTGTTGGCTCACATTTTTAAAAAAAAGTCTGAAAGAGTCCCAGGAAAAAGGAAAACTATAACTGGCAAATCAATAATCGCAGGCTTTTATCGGCAAAAATTAAACAAAAACCGAATAATTTGCAACAGAAAAGTTCTGGACATCCGAGGTTTTCCTCTTTCAAACGTTCCCTTGTTACCTTCACAGACATATCTTTTTTTTATGTTTACCTTCGTTTTCAGGAGTTTCCACTAAGGAAAGAAGAGAAAAAGAAAAGAACAATAAGCATTTTTATAAAAATACTTTCACAGTCGTCATAAATCTCATTTGCGAGGATCATCCCTTTATTGAGTACTTAACAGTCAATCCTCAAAACTAAGTGCAGACCTCTTGTTGGCTCATATTTTTAAAAAGAAACCTGAGAATCGTTATCTTCAAGAAGAGTACGACATATTTTAATTTCGAATACATGTTTCGATGTTACGAGCATCATCGTAAGTTACAGACTATTTAAAAAGCCGTTAGGACTATATAACAACTAGGCGAAACATGCATAATTAATTATGACTAAGTGACAAACACTTTGTTACTCACTCAAATATGTAGTTCAGATCTTCGATTCATTAAAAACTTAAAAAGTTTTCTTTTCGCCCAAGAACAGTTTACTGTGACGGTTGTAATGAAAGATGTACAAACTTCAGGGTTGTATAATACGATTATAGTAAGAGCAAAATATCCAAGAAGTAACATTGACTTGGTGAAAAGCTCGTGCAATGATACATCAGCCTCGGACTTCTTTTATCACAAGTCAAGAGAGACAGAAGAATAGTGAATCTCTATCCAATTATATTCTTACTATCTACTAGTAACTTAAAACAAACTTACGACTGACAAATGTACAAGGGATTTTTTTAAATAAAAAACCTACGTTTCCCCTTCCCTAGGGCTATTTTTCCGTCGTTGTATGCAGTACAACAAGAGACCTTGTGTTCTTGGGCACAAATATGTTTAGGGCGCGACTCAGAGTCATTAAACCGACTCTGAGAAGGGTACAAAACACTTTCATGCTCAAGAATATCAACTGTACTCACAGAATTAACACTTTGTAAAAACTGAAAAAAATGACAACAATAAGTTGAGAAAGTGATAATAGCAGTTTCTTTTAAAGCACTACAGAGCAACTTACTTTCTGGTCCCTCCTGGGCTTCTGTAAGAAGAAAAATAAGGAGAAAAAAGGAAACAGTTTTTGAAAAGAACTTTTAAAGTACAAATCAAGATTTCCTACAAGAAATGTCTTAAACCTGTTAAATCGATGAAGGTCATTAGCAATAAAAATGCAAAAAGCCAGGTGTTTGACGCCATGTTTCTGGAGGAGAGACGAACTCTAAATCCAATGAAAAGTTTGTCGTCGAAAACTTATATTTATATGTTATTATTGTTCGAGTATTTGTAAGATAATAGTACCAAAATAATGTAATCGGCAATACCCACGTCAAAACATACATGTATATTTAGCCTTCTAACACCCACGCAGAGATTATTGGCTTGAGGAAGATGATCCAAAACATCACATTCTTAGTATTAGCATACGTGACTGTTCAAATACAAAGCGTCGAATCATGCAGTATCTAATAACAGAGTCTAAAAACAAATTCATCAGATCATATTACCAAAATAATGTAATATGCAATACCCATGTCAAACCTGCATCTATGTTTAGCCTTCTAGCACCCACGCACAGGTTATTGGCTTGAGGAAGATGTTCCAAAACATCACATTCTTGATATCAACATACGTGACTGTTTAAAAACAAAGTATCGAACCATTAACAGAGTCTAATAATACATTTTTTAAAAAGAAAGCGATTTAATAACATGATCCTTCGGTATGATATTGTAGAAAATTGTAAAAAATACCCTCCCATGAATGTTTTTTATCTCGCTCATTAAAATTTTCACACAACAATTTTTTTTCAAAGATTTGTCTCTAAGATTTCCCTAGCTCACTAGTTTTCCCTGCAGTAATTCAGAAATTTCAATGGCCTAAGGGCATTGTTGGTTTGAAGAGTATCAGAAGAGGAGCAGACAGGGAAATGGCTAAAACGGGGATACGACGGGAGTTATAATTTTTGACGCCTTGCCTTGGAATATGAAGAGTGGCAAAAGTCTTTGCACGCTATGCTAGTTTTTGAATTTTTTTTTCCTATAATTTTCATTTACCTCCTCTTCTCCTCCATTTCAATTTTGCCTGGTATTAACAAAATACTCTCTAATTTCAGGCAAAATCATTTGGGGGCAAAGGGGGGGGGACTTCATAAAAACTTATTCGAGATGAATTGCAAGATTTCTGTTTATCATTTTGGAGTGGAGGATTATCGAATATCTATCTAGGGGAGGCGTGTAAACTACTTTTGCTAATCATTGTATAGTCATACCGGTTTAAAGATAATCCTGAATAACCTCGGCCTGCCTTGGAAAGGAAAGAATCACAGGTCTGCTTTAAAAATGATAGCTTCTCTAAGTTAAGGTTTCAAACAGTTGACGTGACAACCGTGGAATGCATATCCTCGAGGTATCATACCCAGGCCAGCTAGACTCATGGAATTCATACATTTTCATTTAGTCTACCCATTTCATTTAGTCTACCCAAAACACCGAACGAGTTTTCAACCTTTCTTTTCTAATAGATCATGCAATATCCTTCTATTCTCCATAAATTTCTCATCAGAAACCGGAGGAATTTGATGAATAAAAGTCGCATTAGATCCCCTTGTGTCTAGCTGGATAAAGTCTCACTGACTTCGGCTTTTTAGTGGAAGAAAGACAGATTTACACACACCATAGCAGAAAACGAACAAGCAGACTAACAACTCAAAACACACATTTGCATTCACTTACAATTTGACTTTCCGTGACATTTTGAAACGGGACAGAGGTAAATATTCGAAGATTAATCGTCGTTGGAAATAAACAATACTTTCCGTGAGATCTCTGAGTGTATTTTTTTTTTTTTTTTGAGAAGATCGTCGCATTGTCATTTAACTCGTGCGTGTTTGTCACACCAGTAATGTTGTTTATTCAAAAGTGTACGCTTTTCTGTTCTTCAATTGACAGGTGTCAACTGGTCACAGTTAATTGTCAAAAAATGTTTCAAAGTTTGCTCTGAAGCCTTTTCAGTTAAACTAAAAATATTTCGGTGAAAGCTTTCTCTTTAATTTGAATAACGTCTGTATTCTTTATCATCCACTCGCTAACAAATTGCTAAGGTTATGGAGGATTTTCCCGTAATTAAACTCGTAATTGTAGCCCTAAATTATTCGGGTTCTTTTGGTGATAATTTTTTTATGTGTTAGAAAAAAATAAAAATGTTATTAACCAGCATAAGTTGGTCCGTATTGGGAAAAACTGTGCCCTCTGTCTTGAGTACCGCCCGAGGCCTGCGGCCTCGGGCGGTATCCAAGACCTTGGGCACAGTTTTTCCCAATACGGACCGACTTATGTTGGTGAATAACATGTATATACCTGTCAGAATTGAAAAGTCACTGTTTTTCCGATCTGCCTAACTTAACGGCCGTCAAGCCATTCAAAATTTTTCACAGATGAGTACTATCCATCCGGGTATTTTCCCCGGACGGGCACTATGTGCTGATAGTGTCTCTCCACGGATGAACACTATCGCGTCTCCTGATCAATTTGAACCAATAAGAATCGGAGAAAATGTAGTGGTGAACTATAATCAACAATATACACCTCCGAGCGAGTGGATAACGTGAAAACAAAATGGCGGGCGTAAACTCGCGTTTCGCTAAAGTTTCAGAAGCAGAAATTTTACAAATACAAGACGAGGCTGTGCCCGATAATACAAAAAAGGCAACTAAGTATGGGATGAAAGTTTTTAAAGGTAAGAGAAGACTCCACAGTGTTAAAAAGTGTTTGGTGTTTTATTTTGCCGACAATTGTCAAAAACAGACATTCATAACTCTTCACACTGAAACAATTTCTTACAAAACAAACAATTTCTTTGTAGACTGGTTTTCCCAGCAAGACGAATTTACCACAGATGTAGAAGAGATGAACAAGGAGGACTTAAATAAATCCTTGAGGAAATTTTATATGTCTGCAAGAAAACAGGACGGAGGTTATTATAATAACGCATCTCTTACCTCGATCAGAGCCGCCAAAGATCGACACTTGCGCAACGAGCCACGCAACAAGCCATTTTCGATAATTAGCGAAAGCCAGTTTACGGAAGCGAACAAAGCTCTAAATTTGTTTCTGAAAACTCTGAGCAAGTCAGGGCAAATTTATTCCACAGTCCACAAACCCGCACTAACAACCGAAGCAGTTTCAAAGCTCTACGAAGCCGGCTAGCTAGTAGATGCAAGATGCCTCGATCCACAAACAGGCGGGTCTAAAACGCAGGTCACGGGTCACATGTCACGGGTCACATGTCACGGGTCACAACTCACAGGTCATGGGTCATGGGTCACAGGTCACAGGTCACAGGTCACAGGTCACAGGTCACAGGTCGCGATCACTTAGACAACATACCACCTTGCGATGACCCGGAATGACGAGTAAAGAATTCGGTTTATTTTTTATCCATTTTAAGTGCCGATTTATCATTTGATATTAAAATGTCAGTTTTTGCATTAGGTTTTGTCGCGGTTTACACTGGAATTTTTTTCTAAAATCGACGAAAAAAATCCGGTACTTCTGTGGCTTAGATTTCACGTCTACCTAGATTTATCAATGAGCATTTTTAATGCAAAGAGGCTATCAACTGTCTCCTGCATTCTTCCAAAAACTACCTTGTTCGAATGAAGCATTTCAGTTTTATTTTCAGCGGCTTCAGTTGGGCCACAAACAAATTCATGTGTCCGAAACCTATGAGCCCGAAAACACGCAAAAATCCAGCGGAGTTGTTCATTGCGTGACACTTTGAATGTCAAGTCTCACGAAATTCGATGTCCGGGATTTCTGGCCATCATGGATTCATCGAGCTATGAGGTAAGAGATTAAAAAAGTTCGAATGTAAACCACGACAAAACCTATTGCAAAAACTGACATTTTAATATCAAATGATAAATCGGCACTTAAATTGATAAAAAATAAACCGAATCCTTTACTCGTCATCCCGCGTCATCCCAAGGTAGTATGTTGTCTAAAGGCTGGTTTTCACTTGCGACGGAGTCGTAGTCGGGGTCGTAATCAGAAGCGTGGAGCAATACGATCTAGTGAAAATCAAACCAACGGAGTCGGAAGCAGAACACCAATTCTGCCTATGACTCCGTTGCTTACGATCTAGTGAAAACTGCATTGTCGGAATCGGAAGCGGAAGCGGAAGAATAAACCAATCACAATCCTCGATTCCATCTTTCCAAAATGCACAAATAGCCGTAACAAATTTAAACGTGTGAGCTTGACGGTAAAATTACGAAATTAAAAGTTAAAATACTCGAACTGAACCTACCGAAAGTACGATTCACGATCACCAAGTCGTAGTTCGCTGA